GTGAACACACAGGCATGCACATACGCACGCTCACACACACACACACACACACACACATGCACGCACACACGCACACGTGTGTGCCCAGCAGCAGAATCCAGGACAGGAAACTCACTCCCCAGGCTGGTGGTGAGAGAATGAATGTGGCTCTGGAGCTAAGAGAGGGAAGAGAGACTCTTTCAGCCTCAGCAGGTGGCCTCTGGCCACGAATGGCTCGTGAAAGTGTTGAGTAGTAACTCGGAACAAGAGAGCTGAGGAGGAACAGAAAAAGTGGCAACCCTAAATAAAGGTGTGGGAGAAGAAACAGAAGCCCTAGACGCCTCACCGAAGGTCAATTTCAGGAGGAGGAGATGGACGTAGGGGACAGCAAGATGGCTCGGAAGTGGCATGTCTTAGTTCGGGTCTCTATTGCTGTGATAAAACACCGTGAGCAAAAAGCAAGTTGTAGTCATCGCTGAAAGAAGCCAGGACAGGAACTCAAACATGACAGGAACCTTCAGGCAGGAGCTGATGCAGAGGCCCTAGAGGGGAGCTGCTTACTGCCTTGCTCCCCATAACTTGCTCAGCCTGCTTTTATATAGAACCCAGGACCACCAGCCCAAGGGTGGCACCTCTGCAATGGCCTGGGACCCTCCCGCATTGATCACTAATTGAGAAAATCCCTTACAGCTGGACCTCATAGAGGCACTTTCTCATTTGAGGTTTTCCCTCTGCTCTAGATGGTAACAAGTTAACATGAGACCAGCCAGCGCAGGGTGTCCCTTAAGAAAACAGTGGTCCTCAGAGCTGCTTGGGGAAGTTTTCCCGTCTACGTAAGGAGGGACAGAAAGACACCCAGGCCTGCAGCAAGCGATTTTGAGACATGTTTGTTCAGACTTGCCCTAGCTGTGCCTCCAGATGGGAACCCATTAAAATGTAGGTTCCTGATCCCAGAAGCTCAGCTGTGTGGACAGTGGTTACACTTGACAGGGTGACAAAAAAAAATAGTGTTATATACAGCACCTCAGGACACACTGTCCTTGAGTGGGAACTTTCTTCCCATTATCTGAGGTCTGTAGGTGTATTGAGAAAATTTATCACCGTGGAAAATGGTAAGTGCTGAGATCAGGCGGGAAGGTCTCTTGGTGGTTAACTGCTGTCACACTGTCCTTCTAGTGGGTGGGGGAGCCTCATGTTCTCTTTCAACATAATCCATGATGAGCCCTGTGATGGAGGAATGCTGCCTCCCCCTCTACTGCCAGTGACATGGCTCTTGGGTTCGCTTCCCACCACCGCCTCCACTGTAACTATTAACACTGCCCATATTCATTTGTGCTACAAATTGTAACGGAAAGGATTTTTGTACAAAAGGATTGCTTCTGGATATTTAAATCCACACTGTTTTAAGGCTGTACTTGATTTCCATAAACTGTTCTTGGAGGCTTAATTATCGTTCCTCATCTTCTCATGTGTCATGACCTTGTTACCTCCTTCACCCCAGCTCACTGTGCCATCTCCTACTCCCTTCTAGCTTGCTTCCAGTTCTTTCAACATTGGGAAGTTGTGGGGAACTTCTACTCCTGAGTGTGTGGCAGCTACCATCAAAGGGTGGTAGGAAGCCTGGCCCCTTGTACAAACCAGGTTTTTAATGCCATGCTAGTAAGGGTTCCCAAGCCTCAATCCCAAGTTCTGGAGTCATTTACACAGCTGCCTTCACAATCTCATGACAGCTAAGAGAGCTCCAACTTAGGCCCAAGCTGACTTTTGATGTGTGAATAAGCACTCCTGGAAAGAACCAGCCCACTGAGCAGAACTGCCATCCTGTGGAGAGGTTGTAAGCCCAGAGCTTGGTTACACTTTATCTCAGACCATCTTTAGCACCCTCTTGCCCACATGTGTGGGACCTAACATCCTAACAGATATAAAGAAAAATATTCCTTGGGAATGAATTTAAAAACAAAACAACAACAACAACAAAAACCCACCTACTTTTCCAGTAGTCAAAGGGTAAGTGTGTAGTTGGACAGCTAAGCCTATGGCAGAGCTCTCTCCATCTTTCTATGAACCTGCCTCCCTCACGTATCCACCAGTGTATTTGAAAAGCACCTGATTTATGACTGGCCTTCTTTGCCCTGTTACTATAAAAAGCTTAAAAAATTGCTGCCTCGTTGGAACGTAAAATTGGGGTAACTAAATCTGTGTTCCTGCACCGTGGTTGCTTGGAATTCTCCAGAATTAACTATTTCTTTTCCCTTTGAGGTGAGAGCTGTGCTTTTACATAGAGAGAACCTTCTCCATAAGTCTACTTTTGGCCACATCTCCCATCTTGGCCAACATAGCTCCATCTTCCTACTTCAAACTCCATATGCCACTCTGGTGGGTCCTTACTTCTTGGCTAGATTTCAGCTGTAGGCTCCAATCTTCCAGCTCTGACCTTGTCCACACACCTAATACCAACAGGGCATGAAGCGCAGACTTCCTAACCCCACTCCCAGCTCATTCCACTCACTGGCTGAAAACAAATGGCTCCTTGCTGCAGAGTAAAGGTTCTTAAAATGGCTCCATTAGAACACACAGTGTCTTCCCTTCATCACTGTGAGACTCCTCCACAGGGTTTTACATTCCCTCTCTTTTATTCCTCCAAGAAAAAGGCCCTAACTACCTTAGCTCCAGACTGCCCTTTCTAAAGTGTTAAGACCCTGATCAGCTCTCGAGATAAAAAGTAAATTATTTTCTCCCTCGTGAGCACAATTCTGACGTGTTTCCTGTCCAGTGTGACAAAGATAATGTCTCCCTTACAAGGACAGGTAGGTTTGCTATCTCCTATAAAGCATCCAGGCTCCCTGACTTTGGGGTTACTGGGCTATGACAAAAATCCACTGCAGATACAGCATCTGCCTGGCCCCTCTTGTGCCACCCACTGGACAGAGGGCAGAGAGAAGGGAGGCAAACTGTTGCCGGTAGCATGGGAGAAATGATGTGTTTGTTTGTTGTTGTTTTTCCCTGACTCTGGACTGTCTTGAGTTCTGCCAGAATCCACACAACGCTGCAAGCTAAATTTGCTAGCTGACTGGGAGTCTCTGCCTTCCTGTTTATTTCATACTGTACTAAGGCTCAGCTCTCTCCCTCCAGGTCAGCTGCACATCTGCTCAAGGACTAGAAGATGTAAGGTGCAGTAGTCATTAAAGCCTTCCCATTTCTCACTGTTTGGCTGCTCTCCCCACCAAGGGCACTCTCTACTCTCAGCCCTTCAGGGAGCAGAGCATTAACAGTCACAGCAGATCCCTTCCCTACCATAACCTGCCAAGTCCCCTTTACTCGACTCTAATGTTTTTCCTACTTCACTTACCAGCTTCTACAGAAGGCAGGGTAACTGAAAGCCTTTAAGGACAAGAGAGCAAACATTTTAAGCTTGAAGTCCTTAAGCTTCCTGTTGAATTGACTTAATCATAGTGGGAGAGCAGTAACAGGTAATATGCTAATAAGCAGGAGGTTGGCCACGTTCTAGTAACAGAACTTAAACATACATAGAAACTAAAACAATAAAAACAAACAACAACACCAACAAGCTGGCAGCTCGCCTGAGGATTAATAAATAGTCAGTCCCTGTGTTACAAAAATCTTCATGGCTTCTCACTCTACTGGCCAACAAGCCCAGGAAAGGGACAATCTTGTTTTTTTCTTTTATTTTGTTTCCATTGTTTGTTTCTGTTGTTGACTCTCACTATATGGCCCTAGCTGGCTGGCCTGGAATTCCCCCTATGTAACAAAGGTCCGCCTACATCTGCCTCCTAATTACCAGGAAAAAGCAGCATTATGCACAAATATTCTCTCTCTGTCTCTCCCTCTTCCCCTCCTCCCCCCCACCCCCGTCTCTAAAACTGAAATCATACACAAAATGTGTTCTGCAGATTGGTGGCTCTGACAGTCCAGGACTAGATGAGGACAATGTAGACCTGACTCACTGGCTGAAATGGAGATGGATTGTGACAGAAAGAGGGTTTTTGTTTGTTACTATAAACAAAGCAGTGACTAAAGGAAATGACCTCCAGGTCTCAGGAAGTTGTCCTTTCTGACATCAGGAGCATCCTGAAAAGCCCCATATCTGTACCCCATGTCCCACAAAACCCTTTTTCTATTCAGTACCTGTTGTTGCTTTTACACTAATTTGTTTTCAAGACCCAAGAGCTATACCTAATGTGTTTGTAGCTCTACTGTCCAAACACAACCAACCACAGCTCTCATCTCAAAGGGACTAAGAGAGTTTACTGTAAAGCCCAAATTAAGGGGCCATGATTTAGGAATTCATAGATAGCCTCCCAAATTCCAAAGAACCATGACAACACACAGACAGCTTAACTACTCAGCATCTTCATTTCCTTATTTCTTGGGCCCACATCTGAACTGCCCTTCTCCATTTCTTTTCTCAGTAGGTGAATGAAAACCTAAATTCTAAACAAAGGAAACAGCTCATGGTACAAAAGGACTTGATGTTAGACTGGTCCACTGTGGTCCTTGTGTGATGGTTCTCCTTAGCACTGAATGCAGTAGGAAAGGCATTCCTATTTCACATTAGAGTTTAGTGCAGTTTGTCATGGTCAAGTGCTTTGCTAGGGAAATCTCATGCAATGACCTAGACAAGTCTAGTGTAAAAACATACCTGCTCGTCAGAGACCACTACTTTGTCTACTTTGCTATAAAGAATGCTTCAGCTGGGTGTGTCAGCAGCTAATTTAGTCCTCTGGGCTACTTAAAAGATTATACAAGGATGAAAGAGCTGGCACCCCTCCCTCAAGGTCAATGATCCATCCCATTTCTCACTTCATGCCCAGGGCTCAGCCAAGAACACAGCTTTAAAAAGGGCATTCATATCTGCCTGTAAGGTTGAAAGGAGAAAAAGGGAAGTCTTGCCAGGAAACAAAAAAGTCAAGCCTACATCACAATCACATGACAATTAAGGGCCAGCCAAATGGATGTTGTGTCCAACTTTCACACATAGACCAACTAGAATAAGACTGTAATTCCATCAAGTGTCATTTATTTAAATAACACTCCAATTGCACATTGTAGGTAAACTGGTTACAGCAATATGAAAATATAGAATTCTGAAAACAATCTGGCAACTTAAACATATATCTAATAACACAGAACCTTCTGTGAGGTACAAAGGAAGTAAAAGGAAAACACTGACTTTCAAAATGATTTATTTGCACTTTAAAATACTATTTCTAATATGACATCTGTTTTTCAAAACTGTCTAAATAGTAAAAATAGAAACAGGAATTGTCTTCATGTTGAAAACTTAATCTTTATATCCTTTCACTTACACATCACAGGTGATAACATAAAATCAGCATATGAAAAGTCATGGGGAACACAGCTTTTACATGAAAAATATCAGTTCACACTTTTCTTCTTCTTCCTTGACTGATGGAAAGCTTTCTAGCTGGTCTTTTTTCTTCTCTAGGACCCGAAACTATTCCATTGATTAGTGGGCGGATATTAATAACACACTCATTTTACAAAGAGTTCAATTTCTAAGACTGTTTTCCTTTGTAAAACTGATTGCTGAAAATGAACTACAGGAGACCACGCTCAAATGCCATAAGAAAACTGAGACAAGGGAACACTGCCAAGTTTGACCAGCACAATACTAAATCCTAAGTACAGGTGGGAGCTCCAATGATTCAACTTGAAAACTCCAAATTGGTTTACAAATGCCTTATTTTTGCTTACTCCAAAAATATGTGAAAAACAAATACCATGAAAGCCACTTACACTAGAAGAAAAGACAAGCTTACATTTTGTAGTTTGTGGCAAAAAAAAAAAAAAAAATTAAAAAGACAATCTCAAAAGACAAACACTTACAAAGTAAGTTTGCGTTGGAAAATAAGTTGTGCAATAAAATAATACATCTCAGTTATTAAATATATATTTGCCTTTGTATATAACTTCCATCAAAAATTTGGTGGCCTATGAACATCTGAAATAAAGATTTTAAAATAGTAAGCTAAATAAAGAGACAGTTGATACTCAGGTGTTCAGATGCCAACAATCAACAACCACAAAAATCAATGAAAAACAAACACTTGGCTCTAGGATTCCCCATGACCTGGTAACTGAGCACAGCACACAGTGTTTTGCAATACAGCATGAGCCAGAGGCTCACACACCTGTTCTCTATACATAGTGGGTGATCTGGACCCAACAATGCTCTTTTCTTATGTCCTTAAACAGAACCAAAACCCTGTGATTTAAGATGTTTACCACAATCTAACTCTTGTGTAAATTACTTCCTTAGAAATAAATCATTCGTGCTGGGTACTCAGTGCCCACTAGCATGTGTGCCGGTCCCCTTGGCTTAAGTCCCAGCACAGGAGTGGGCAGGAGGAGAGATGTACTAAAAGCATCTAACTGTCTACTGTGCAGAAGGAGAGGAAGAGGGAGGAGGAGGAGGAGGAGGAAGCACTTCAAGAAAAAGGGAGTTTGTGAAAATCATTTCTACTCATTTACCATCTCCAAAATTGTGGCCTGGGCATTCTGCTCCATTAAAGGTAAGACTGCAGGAAGATGCCTGTATACTCTCTTCAGCAGAATGGGCCACACTTTCAAACTAAGTATATTTCAGACTCAGAACAATGCAATTCCTTCAAAAATAAATGTAAGTGTTATTCTTTAATGTGTTCAATTATTCAGATACCCTCATTTTCAGTACTGGTCCACTGAAAACAACTTCTTTTTATTTTCTTTTGGTGCCCAAACTATCAAGAATTTCAATCCAAAGTTAAAAAAAAAAAAAAAAGTTAAGGTGCAATAAAACAAATCCACCCAATGTAATATGCACGTCCCCTAAATTCATCCTTTAAATTACACACTTCTAAGAACTACTGGGTTAGCATACAAGGTGCACTGTGAGTTTACTGTCAGTAAGTATATTATTACTGTACCTCTCCTATTCAGTATTCAACCTGGACCCGAGGATGTGGCTCAGCTGAAGAGCATTTACAAGGCATACACCAGCCCTCGAGGTCCATTTCTAGCACCACAAAAAATAAAACAAAATAAAATTCAGCCTGTAGGCATGTGTAGACATCCTTTATTATTTAAATACAGTTAGGCAGCTGCTTTATCTCTGCAGTATCGCTGAGCTGAACACACATCACTTTATACTGCAATCAGAGAAAATGGGGCTTAGGCTTCCTCTGATGCTAAATCTACATCTCCTTTTGCATGGTTCAGGCTGAGAACCTGCTCAGCCATCTTAATACACAGAACCGTTCTTCTATCGCTTCCTTCTGTAGTGATGAAGTTTGATAAATGGACTAAGATGGGCCTAAATTGTCCCCCATATGAAAGTCTGCCCAGAGCTTCCTTGATGATAAAGTCTGATTGTCCTTTACATTACATTTCAAGTTGAACATTCTAAAATAACAAAAGCTAACAGCAAATACGACAGACCAAAATACTAACTAGAGGGGCAGGGTTCTAGAAATCTAATATAAAGAAAAACACATAAATATTTGGGCTCTGGGAAAGAGAGCAATTTGGAGAGACCATTTCACTCCTAAAAGGGCATGAAGGATTATCCAATGTGGGCTATTTTATATTACTTATCTATAGACCAGTTTATTGATACATTAGATCTATCACTGTATCTAATCAAGAGGTGCTTAAAGAGATTAGTATTTATATTTATGTATATCCCTTAGGCACACACACTCAAAATATTCACAGTAAACTACTGGAAGGCATAAAATATTTAAATTTAGTCAAATCACCTTCCACATTACCACCAAAGTGGATAAATTGTGCCTAAAATCTTTAAATAATATATTGGGCTAGCTAAGAGGATCAACGTTAGCATGTTGATAATGCAAAAGTATCACAAAGGGTTCACCAAGTTTTTCAGAAAGTATCTTACTCATGAAATCTATGAAACCCTAACAGTTGTGACATGCAAAGATAGTTTGTAAAATAAGACTAAAATTAAGGACTTTTAGATTGGCACACCAGGAGTTCACAGGGGCATGAGGTGGGTGAGACCAATGTTCACACAAGCCACCTAGCTATAGCATCTGCCGAATACACTGGACAGAGAAACTAAACTACTGAGAGGTATTTGGAAAGAGATGATATAACAGATGCGGAATGGGTAGTCACAGCGGACAGCGGGTAAATGCCAGAATGCCAGGGACAAGAACCCAGGATACCTTTGAGAACTGCCGCAGGGAGGCCCCAGCCATGGCCATCTCTGTAGGGTGTTACCGCCAATGACAAGTGGCTACACCACCAGACAGAGAGGTCAGGAGAAGCAGTATGCTCAGAGGCTGAGGAGGACGACAGCATTTCCTCAGATCCATCCCAGGCCTGAGAAGTCACAAACACTCAGGATTTCTATCACTTCATTAACTGATTTCAACTAAATGCAGAACTGGTGATTCAGGAATACAGGGACTACAAAAAGGTGGTAGAAAAGAAATAGGAAAAACCAAATGTCTGGAGAATTTACCAGAATAATTCCCGAATTAATTTTTCCACTTGGTCATAAAGACCTTTTAAATTAGTTTTACTATAATAATTTAAAGGGAGAGCGCTCTACTGACAAAGATACAGCCACAATAGACATCACGAGGACGGACGAGACAGAATCATGAGCACCAACAGCAGATGCTGCTGGTGCCTGTCACAGCAGAACGACTGACAGAAGAACTTGCACTTCTCTTTGAAGGGGCACTTGCTTTTCACCCCTCCACACCTCGGATTCTAGGCCCTGATCAGAGAATTATGGACTAACCTGACCTCCAATTCAACTAACCCAGACACTCCACCAGGGAGGAATGACAGCCACACAGAACTGCTAAACTAACCCTCTCCCAAGGAGCTGGCTAGACTGTTGGATTGCTCTCATGACTGTCCCTCACACCTAGGAATCTGGAATTTCTTCTCCCTGTAGCTCCTACCTACTTGTCTCCTCCCCCGTCCTTAGAACAAGCAGAAAGCCACTCAAGTGTCCGCTGTGTGACTTGGGAGCATCTTCTACATACAGGCAGAGCAAGTGTTCAAATATCCACAGGAGTTGGTGGAGTTAACCTTCCATTAACTGTTGAACAGAAATCAGGCTATCCCTCTCGCCATGGCTCTGAAACACAACTTTTATATTTACAAAGCACCAATCAGAACACTGCCTCACTATCTAAAAATAAACACAGGCAATTTTGCCAGTGGCTATATAAACTGTTATCAGACATACTAGAAACCCAGCCCACTACATGTGCCTCTCAAAAACAGGATTTGATAAAATGTTCTTTCAGGCACTTGATCTTCACAAAGCATCCTGAATCACAAAACAGATTTTACAAAATGATTCTTACAAACATCCTAAGAAATTGGTGCCGATACAGTATCTTGAATATGACAGTAAATAGGCAAGTGTCTACTGAATTAATTCTATTGCAGTATTTATGAAGTTACTGGGTAGAGTCTTAAATGACAGAGAAAATATGAACAATAGAAACAAAAGAAAGAAAACAAAATATAATAGCATAGATAAATTTGTTTTATAATGTGAAAATAGCCATTAAAAAGGATTTATTATCAACTTATGCGAATGTGTGTTTTTCTATGTGATTGTTTGCCCTGTGTGTTTGGGTGTCTGCAAAGGCCAGAAAGGCGTGGTCAGATTTTCTGCAGTACAGACAGTTGAGAACCGCCTGACACGGGTGCCGGGAAACAAACTCTGACCTTCCGGAAGAGTGTTCTTAACTGCTAGGTCATCTCTCTAGCCCCTCAAATAGGCATTTTAGTGTAACTGTTTTTCATTTTATACCGGAATGGGAATTTACTGTTACAGACCATAAGCTGACAGTTTCTCACAAAATATGAGTACATATTCTTTTTGTTTGGTTAGCTTTGGTTTTGGAGACAGGGTTTCACTGTGTAGCTCTGGCTGGCCTGGAACTCACTATGTAGACCAGGCTGGCCTTGAACTCAGAGACCTGCCTGCCTCTGTCTCCCAAGTACTGAGATTAAAGGCTTGTGCCACCATTCTTTCATAGTATGAATATATTGTTTTTTAAATGCTATCAAAGCTCTCTAAATAATTTATACACTTTTCTCCAAGGATATATATAATTATCAAACATATTTCCATAGTATCATGACAATTTTCCCCTTCTATCTGTAGCTAATAATGTAATTCATATAAATGTGATATAATGATATCTGCCCCTGTCTGAAGGAATGGTCCTCTGACTCAAAGTGTATTAATCATCTTTCTTAAAAAATACTTCAATGTTGGTCAAGAAATGGTACAGGAAGTAACACAACACCAATGCCTGCTAAGCATGGGGAACTGCAGTAGAGGCCGGCGGGAACAACTCAGCAATCTGGGCCGCGGTCATCGCTAAACGCATCGCTAAACTGAAAGGTATTTGAATGCTCATATTCATTTCACTATACAGCAGAGACAAAGACTCAGCTGAGACCCTTGCATAGGGACTGTAATCCATGATCAAAGCCATAATTATCAGACTCACTCCTGTGTACAGCCTTTGCAGCTCACAGAGACCTACCAAGTACATGAACTAACTGAGGCCTCAGAGCACTGAGTGCTACCTGCCATTCCCACTGGAAAATCCAGGTCTTAGAAAGGGTAAGTGGTTTGCTTTATATTGTTAACTAATAACCAACAGAGAGGGGGTCGTACCTACAACATGGGGCTCTGTCTGGGAAAGATGGAGCTGTCTATGGTCTAGACAAGTTACTGGTCTTTGAAACAAGAAAAATGGAACAAAAGCCCAGATTCATGGAATCATGAACTGCTTTTCATCACTGGCCTTTGGCTATAATACCTATGACAGGCAGTTGATTGGGGAGGAAGGGGGGAGTTGAAAAATACTATGAAACATTCTAAATGGAAAGAGTTTGGATTAAATGCTAAACATTGTAGAAAATGCCTAATACACAGATGCGCGGTTATAACACTCAAGGATAACTTTAAATCCACCCGTTCTTTCTTTGTTTCACAAACAGGAAGATGGGGTGATTGACAGGTGTGAGGACTCCAGAAAGGTCATCTGTTCATGCTCTGATTCTGTTTCCTACTCAGAACCAAAATGCAGCCCAGAAATTCAAAAGGGACCATCAGCACTGGGTCAGCGGCGACATAGGTGTGAAAATGACTGATAGTTTACATATCATTTAAAGCAGCGGGAAGTCTTCCTTCCTGTAAGTAATCAAAGTCTACATTTCAGGCTTCAGCACTGAGGTTGGGGAGTTCTAAAATACAGCCTTTTCTTTCTTACACACATAAGAAATGTGTCTGTATGACTGAAAGCTATTACTGATCAGATATGAGTACATTCAAATACAAGACAGTTTCTGAAAAATGCCACCACCTTCAGCCATCCAGAGGAGTGGAAACCCAAAAACTTAGAACTGCACCATCTTGTAGAGATACGGGTCCCTTCAGCCTAGAAATACATTATCCACCTCAGGCCATTTGTTTCACATTTCCAGCCTCTTCAGAAACCCACTGCTATTTTATTCTAGCTGTGATAATTAAATATGAAGCAATAAAACATCTCTGAAGTTTAAAGGACAAGCCAATCTAAAAATGGCTCAGCTGATAGAGCCTTTTGCTATTTAAACAATATTAATTTTCACATTAAAAAAATAAATAATCTAACTAGACTTTATTGGACCTGCCAGTCTTTAAAAGACTTCCCTCTCAATTGAAATCTAATGTGAACTTCTTTTTAAAGGCAGAGTTTAAGAATTTCTATACAGTATTGACTGTCATTCCATAGGGAAAAATATATAGACCAACAGTAGCCACTTCAGTGACAGGAAAAGCCTGACAATAGGTTTTCTGTTTCTTATTTGAAGGATCAGGGTTCCACCTTGACACGGGGACTGAGCTCCACAGTGACAGTCTGCATTAACTGGGGGGAGGGTGGCCTCCTCTGGGTTCCTGATCACTCTGAGGATGGTTTCTTCCAGAGATGAAGAGCTGCTTGAATTCTGAAGTGTAGTCTGGACTCCAAGGAATAGTCTTTGTAGTTGTTTCTGAAGGCAGTGAATGATAAAATTGCACAGTGAGCATTTAGTTCTCTGTCTCGCAAGGTACCACCTTCCTTCCTCTGCCTCCCTCTGATCTCTTGTCTACTTTCTAACTTGAACATGCATCAGTGGAGCGGAGTAAAGAGCAGACTCTTTCTGTCGCGCAACGTGAACAGTGAGTCTGCACGCTTGGCTTCCAGAGGCTTCCCTGGTGGTGACTTAAAAGGTCACACTTTGAGTAGCAACACCCTAATTACCAAACCACAACTATAGCAAGGTCATGAGGGCAGGGCACATTTTGTTAAGTACTGCTAAACAGCTCAACTGTCATATTTAAAGGGGAAATTTTAAGGCAGGTTCATATAATACAATGATCATGAACAATCCATTATTCAACAGAAAATACCTTGAAGCCCATATGAAGTTACCCTAAAACAGACAGCAGGGTTACCCTGTTACCCCAATACCATTTCTTCCAGTTCTCATGCAAGTTATTGGTGGTTTTGTTACTAATATCTCAATTATACCAGTGTCAGAAGGGGCCACAGAAGAAAAGGGGTAAAACACAGCAAGAAACAAGGAGTGGAACAAGGTGGCAGAGAACTTTCTGGGCACACAGGGGTCCTGGGGTCAGTCCCCACAACCATGGAAAAGAAAAGCAGGGGGCACAAAATCCCAAGATTATTTGAAAAATCCGACTATGGTGGTTTGAATTAAAATGCCCCCATAGGCCTATGGACGATGGCACTATTGGGAGTGTGGATGATTGGAGGAAGGGTGTCACTGAGAGCGGGCTTTGAGGCTTCAAAATGCTCAAGCCAGGCCCACGGTCTCTCTTCCCACTGCCTGCAATCCAGATGTAGAACTCTCAAGTTCCTTCTCCAGCACCATGTCTGCCTGCATGCCATGCCTCCCGCCATGATGGTGATGGACTAAACCTCTGAAACAGTAAGCCAGCTCCAACTGAATGTTTTCCTTTGTAAGAATCATAATGGTCATAGTATCTCCTCACAGCAATAGAAACCCTAAGACACAGACTTTTTTAAATATTTATTTATTTATTTTTTAAACAACATTCTGGTCTGAATGTGTGCCTGCACACCAGAAGAGGGAGCCAGATCTCACTGTAGACGGTTGTGAGCTACCGTGTGGTTGCTAGGAATTGAACTCGGGACCTTTGGAAGAAGAGCCAGTGTTAACTTCTGGAGCCCCCTAAGACAAAGACTTCACTCATTCATGTTGACCTCTCTTTGATAAAATAGGAGTTGGCAAAGTGGATACGACACTTCGATTTAGGTCTCTGGTTTCATAGACTGCCTTGGCAGGTCAGCAGCCGATGCCTACTCTGAAGTAGTTTCTTTCTATCTTTTTACTTTTACACTTTCTTGGTAACTTTGATGAGTGTTAGTATGACATATTCTGATATTCACAAATTAAAATAAACCTGTTACTTAGATGTATCAAAAAACTGAGTATTTTCTCAGTGTCTGGCCAAAGGCTCTGGCCACTTTGAAAAGCCCACCCTACAAAGGGGAACTGCAGACAGAGATGGCCCTGAAGTCCCGGGAAAGCGTGTTTCCATTTGCCCGAAACACTGTCTGGGTTAGTGGCAGCACCGTGAGCTTTTTGGTGGTAGAGAGCTGTCCTTCCACATCGCCTGCTGCTCTGTCTGCCCTGAGTGGTGCTGACTGTGTTCCAGCAGTGACGCCTGACGCAGCAGCGCTTGCTGTGCAGCGCCCTCGTGGCTTCAGCTGAAGATAGACAGACGTCACAGCTGAAACAGCAGTTGTTCTCATGCCCAACGTGTTACCTTCGAAAGCGGCTTCTTCCTGCAGCGTCCAGTTCTCTTTTAAGAAGTACTTGGTGACACCACGTCCCTAAAGCTTCTTCCTCCTTATGACACTCTATTTACAGCAAACATCCCTAACATCTTACCTTACAGTAGCTGAGTCTGTTTCTCGCCTCATCTCCCTGTCAAGGTCACGCATGACTTCCACAGCTCTGATCTTATCTTTGACTTTTTGGTAGCTGCACTCATAAGCAACCATTCTCACTATTTCCAATTTTTTTTGGCTCTTCCTACTTGAATGCTTCTTAGCTGATAACCAGTTGTACAAATTCAGAGACTCCAGGTTGATTTTATCACTGTTACTACTGGACATTTATTTCATGTATTGGTGGGGTACGCATGCCACAGAGCCTGAGAGGAGGTCATGGGGTACGCATGACACAGAGCCTGAGAGGAGGTCAACGGACAACTCTGTGGAGCTGGTTCTTTCTGTCTAGCTTCATGTAGGTTCTAGTAATCAAACTCAGGTTTTTGGGTTTGTGGGCAAGTTCTTGACTCTCTGAACTTGTTTCGAAACAACCTTAATTAAATCCTGACATATGTAGAAAATTAAACAACAACAACTTAACAACATCCTCTTAACTCCACCTAATCTTATTAAGATCTTAATCGTCCAAGTCTTACAGCTTACTCCTGAGACTGGAATGTTCCAGGCACTGTTCAAGACCTCCATCTCCAGCTCTTGGCTTCCCCTAATGACCTCAAGCACGAGGGCTTTGGCTATCAGTCGCTCTCTCTCTGTGCTGGGGACTTTGGCTCAAGGCCCTGTGGCCCTGACTTTAGCACTGAACACAGCTGCACACATCATGGCCAGCTCACCCTTCTATGTGTGTACCTAGCGGCCACCTCCAAATACTGCAGCCCTAAGAGAGGTGTGTCTCTTTTCTGAGTGCCACACTCAGTTAAAAAAAAAAAAAAAAGCACTGTCCACCTACTAACCACACTGCACAACCCAGAGGCCTGGGCACACCTTGCGCAGTATGACCTGATGACTGACCTTTCCAGAACTACCTACTTCTGCGGGTGTTAGCTACACTATCACCTCCTCCCAAGACTCAACTCAATCAACGTCGAGGCAGCCCAGATCAACACTGTACATTTCAGGAGAATGCACTTGATTCTCTGAGCTCTCCCTCCAGCTAACATGCAGAACATTCTGGGCTGAGTTCCTAGCGGCCTTTCCATGGCTTTCACTGTATCTGGCCCATGGCAGGCATTCAGTGAGTCTAAAAAAATAAACAGTGACCACGAAGCTCTTTATGACCTATATTGTCTTGCTTTGGTTTTTGTTCTGTTTGCTTGTTTTTGACACTAGGTCTCACTCTGTAACCCAGGCTGGCCTCACACTTGTGGCAAAGATCCTGCTGCCCGGGATTACACTTGTGTGTGAGCTACTGCACTCAACCTAACTAGAGTGGGCATTCTTTCTGCCCCAAGTGTTCCAGACAAATAGACCACAGGGGTCTGCCTTGCTGAGAGTGAGCCAGGATCACAAGTCTGAGTCACTGTGCAGCAGAAATGACAAGAGACAGCTAAAGCTGCCATAGAAGAAAGACGGGAATGTGGGGGAAGGAATTCACATGATCAGAGGGCCCTCAAGGAAATGGCAGGCATGCCTTACAGGAGAACAGTGGTTGGTCAGATAAAGACCAGCTCTGAACATAACCAGTTTTCACTTATCTTCTACACTGCAGCTCCTTACAAAATATCATGTGCTGTCAGTGGACCCCTTACACTCTAAAGCCAATACACACTGCTTGACCATTTGCAGACAAAGTTTCCCAACTCCAGATACAGAGAAGCTGAAGCTGCTCAGTCAACTAGGTGGTCACAATCATATCTCTAGGTAGCCACAGAGAAATGGATTGAGGGGCTGGAAACAGCACAAATGTGGCAAAATCTCCCGTGCAGAAATGAGCCCAAGTCAGTGAAAGTGCACCCTGAACCTGCATGAGCTCACTAGCTTTCAGTAGTGCAAAGGCACCGGTGCACTCGCAATGGCACTGATGTCTCCCGCTCCACGCCACCAGGACGAGTTACCTTCAGTACTCACCTTGCAGTTTCTAGGACCTTTATGGCTTTGTCAATTTCCCCTTGGCTTTTATACAAAAATGCCAACTCAAACAGAGTGAATGGTACCAGATAGTGGTCGTACTTCAGCAGCTTTTCACTACAAGAACAGAGGAAAATCAACGGAAATCTTAAGAGAACACAAAGAGAATCATCTGAAGGACACACCAGTCTTCCTTTTCCAGACAGCATTATGACTATCAGAGGAAGGCCACTGCCACACAGATATGGTACTCAGCGACCTACAGGACAAAGTATGCTTTCACACACTATTCTTTTGTTCCTTACGGTAAGGCCAACACTGCTATGGTATGACCTCTCAGGCAGATCAACACACAGACCTGCAACAAGATGAACCCAGAGTCACCAAGACCATCTTCACAGGCTCGTGATTCTAAGCTGAAGAATAAGGAAGTAGCATTGGTTTTGTGTTTAACTAAGCATCAACTTCCTTCACACTTAAGTCTGAGAATTCTTCAAAATGTCAATGAGTAGGTGGCAGGAAGTCCTGTTTCAGCATCATTGTAAGAACGAGAAGCTCAGAAAAAAGCCCAAGTAACAAACAGTCTCTTAAATCTAGAGCGAATTGTTTCTAACAATAATGGATTTTTCATTTTTGATGATGGATAAATGCATAAAAATATATTCATTAACAAAAGTATAAAATACAAGGTGAGACCCCACAGTTTCCATTCTGAATGGATACTCTGACTATTCACTGACTTGTATAGTATTGTATCAGGTTAATTTCAGTGTATGATTTTTATTTTTATTTGCAACTTTTTATAATGAAGTTTAAAATAAACATAATGACAATAATCGATAGCTCAGGTTAGCAGGCTATAACCCAAACTACTCTCAGATGCCAAAGAGAAGTAAAATCAAGACGGCAGGACTCGTTTGGCGTGTGAGCCCTGGGTTCAGCAGAGCCCTCAGACTTGGTATCTCAATGGACTCACAGGAAATGAGGTCCTACACCCATAGAAGCAGGTGGCTGGAGCTGAGACCCCTTAAGCTTAGAACATAGGATCTGTCCTCTGGAGAAAGGGCAGGTTAGAAGAAACTCACTCACTGGCAAGGAACAACAACTCCTTTCGCCTGCACTTTTGACATACAGAAAAAACAAAACACATCTCCGTGGACATAAACAACAAATAGGCCAGCTCTCACAGGAACTTGCATTTCATATTTAAGCTGTGCTGAACAATGGTTTTAACATGACAGCAGCTTTGGCAGAGGCCTAGGTAAGTGGTATAGGAAAACCCTTCCTCAACTCAGCCCCACTGAAGGTGAGTTCACAGTTCAAAACTTATAAAACACAGGAGTAAAGGATTCCCTATGAGACTCAACAAAACAAAGCAAGTAGCATGGTCACTGCTGTCACTGGCCCTTGAGCCTTATGAAAACACCAATAAACTAGAACTGCACATATACTTCCTTAGTGTGTTCATCAAACACAGTATATTACCTTATTTGGGAACTAGATACTGTGCCCCACGTTCTGATAAAAACTGTCATGAGGAAGGGGTCCAGGTGGCTGTCCATGGAAAGGCACATGGCATGGAAAGCAGGGTGTCAAGTGGCACACTATACGGCCTCTATCTCTTTAGCTTACGGTTTTCAAAAACATTGAGCCTGTGTTTACAAATCAGGAGACCTAATCAATCAACCAATTAATTAACTTAAAAGGGAAAAGAAAAATCAGATCGGATGTTAGATGTAGCTTCAGCTTCTTAATGAAAAGTAGTGAGACTACTGCTACTGGGCCTACACCGTGCAAAGTGAGTGGTTACAGTCTTCAGAGAGAGCACTGTGGCTACCAGCTCAGACAGGCATTCTCCCTTGCTCTAACTCTCTGAAAAGTATGAGGAAGCACCACCATTGCTATAAAAGAAGAAACGGCTTTTGACAAAAAAACTAGTGCAGTATTTATCATGTCTTTCTTCCCCGCCAAATTGCCATGATGGAACACTCAATCTCTAGGTTGTACTGTCTCTGTCATCCAGGGAGCTCGAACACATGCAGAATGCAACACACACACACAAACACACACAGGAGAAGGGGCAGAGACCAAGTGAGTTTGGGAAGCTCAGCAGTTCAATGGAAGCACTTACCAACTGTCAGCCTGGCCCTAAGTTTACATTTTGGAGTTATCTTTCAACACTGAGCAGAAATACGTGAAGCCATATTCCGAGCAAACCATAGCTTTGTTCATGAGGATGAAGGCTTGGCACATCACTGTCCCTGAGATTCCCCTCAAGCTATGACTTGTACTCAGAATGCCTCTTACCTTTCCACCACATGGCTGAAACACAGCTCAGCTTGCAAGGGCCGCTGTAAGTTCTTGAGGCAGCATCCTTTTAGTAATTTCACCAAGCACTCATCATCCACAGAGTAGTCAATAAAGTCTTGAAACACGAGACAAAAACAAAAGAGGAAAGTTCACCGGTTTTTGTGGTGCCGGGACAAGTTTTTGTGGTGTCGGGACAAGTTTTTGTGGTGTCATGCTCACACACATGAGGCAAACTCTCCGAGGTGTGACTCTGGCCCAAAAATACTTTCAAAAAGAAATTCTAACTGAGAGGGAAACTGACTGATGCTGGGCTTTAGGGAGACAATTTAAAACTCACTATACAGGACACAATGAAAACAATCGTTGAGAAAAATGTGGTGCTTACTCGCAGCACAGCCCTTATTACCGGGGCATTCACGGGCAGATTTCTCAGGTGGCCATTCTGAATTTTGTGACCTCAGCTACGACAGCAAATCTGAACGCTAAATAAAGAACGGGCTCATTAATGCTCTCAGAGGTAAAGGAGGAGGAAGCAGGCAGGCTCCTCCTGTTGTTTTGGCTTCTAACTATGCTGGCGCGGGCGCAGGGGAGGATAGCACCTCCATATGGAGAAGCAGATGGCCTCCCACCCGTTCAAAATGCAGGAAGCAGAAACCTCTCTTCCAGATCGTTATGTTTACAACCTATCAATTCTCCCAGGTTATGTCCTTTTGGGGGGAAATTATGCCATGAAATGGCTCTGAAATACAGGAAAGGCACCTAAGTCCCCACGGACTTCCATGCTCCTGGAGAATGTCAAGTATTTCCTTTCCCCACGTGGAACCCCGCCTTCACAGCTCAGTTTGGGTACATATCAGGCAGAGTGAACCGCATGGTGTGACGGCTATGTGACAAAGGTAGCCATGCCACATGTTCCATGCGTGAGGTTTTTCTGTTTGTTTTTTTTTTTTCTTTTGCAAGTGACATGCGAACAAGTCATTGCAAGACAGACTGCTAATTTACACGTGTCGCGCTGTGACAACAGTGTGGAGGGCTGGTAAAGGAAACTGACTAGACCCTGAAAGCCTTGGGTTCAAGCTTCAGACGTCCCCAGTGACATGTGCTGGTGTTTTGATTGTAGAGCCTTACCCCCCAAGGGTGGTAACAGTGCCGCTGACCCACCTAGGAGCACTTCCAACTTCTGTCAGGTGCTGATACACCACCTCTAACCTTTCCTACAACTTATTTAGAACCCCCTCCCAACACCCTCCTACCCTAATCCATGCTTCTGTCAAAGGTGTCTGCTGAGAAGCAGGCCAGTCAGGCCTGAGCCCAAAGCCTTAAGGTCCACACTGGATGCTAGTTTTTAGTGTCATTTTTGTATGTTCTATTGAACTTTGAGAAACATTTTCCTGACAGTTTGTGTTCTGACAACATCTGCTCATTCAGTGAGTGATGGTTTCTGAGCTGGCACTGACAACTGCCACTGAAAAACCAGTGAAGTCACTCTGTGCAGATCTTAACTTAGCAATGTGACAGAGGGGTTCATAGTCCACCTCCTCCACAAACCTCAGAAGTAAAGCCATCGTTTCCCCTGACCACAGCATGCCATCTGCCACAGGATCACTCCCTGTCGTTATTCACAATCTCAAGAGAGTCACTGCAGCAAGGCAGGGGAGATGGCTCTGCGGGTGAAGGCGCTTGCTACTAAACCCAATGACCTGAGTTCTATCTCAACAACCCACCTGGCAGATGGAAAGTACCAGTGCCCACAAAGATGGCCCCTTACCTCCACACACAGAGAAAAAGAAAGAATGTTTGAAAAGCTTTTGTAATCACGATAATGATGCTCCAGCTCGTGTGCGGCACAGCGAGGCTGCAGGATGTCCTGAATGTGGAGGGGGAGGTTTGAAATCTACAAAAATATCTACTGAGAATTTTAGGAACTTGCTGTAATGTTCCAGGAGGGAAACATGAACACCAAGTAAAACGTGAAAGGCCACCAGACTGACTGAGTTACCCCTTATGTAACTGATTCTATTTGCTATATAATGTCGCCACACAAATTAACCGCAATGATAGACAAAGTGGATGTGCTGCCAACTTCTGGCTATGGGATGAATTTGGTTAGACTCCCAAGAAAAACTGTACAGATATTAATACCACGTGCCGACTCTAAGCACGTCACCAAGTGCTCTTGTGTCTAGGCTGTGCCCTTTACGAAGGTGACCAACCTTTACCTACCAGAGCCAGGCACTACAGCAGGTCAACAGTACCCTCTCCCCTGTGTTTTCGAGCCACAATGGACAAAGCAAAAACCGGAACCACATTCGATATGATATCTAACAATGGTCAGAGTCCTCACACCTCAGTATTGCTCAGCTTGCCCATCACAGAGTCCCCACCCTCACTCTGAAGAACAAGAGCCTAATTAATAAGAGTCAGGAGTTGGGGGGAGGAGAAGATAATGTTCCTACATAAAACAATGGTCCTAAAAAACACTAAACCATTAGTATGCAGTATCTGGTAATGCTGACAATAAACAAATTCTTTTACCCAGAGGGAAAACAGAGAAGGACAGGCCAGTGGGTGAGCCTGGTGAACCAGCTCAGGTCTCAGCTCATTTACCCAGAACTCGCTCAGGCCTCTCATCTGAAGATGCCATTAGAAACAGAAACAGAAAAGGCTGTGGTTTGGGTTTCTGAGCACTTCCTATGTATGAGCACACGATGCAAGCATTACTCCTCTAATTCTTTTTCTCCAATAATAGAGGGCAAAATAACCAAAGGGTCAAGGGTCTCTTCAGAGAAGAACCCGACAATGATTTGCAAATTCAGGGCCTTTGATTCCGGGCCTTGTGGTTTGGGCAGGGAGACAGTAGCACATCACAGAGCCTGGGGGTTCATGCATGGAAATGTACCCTACTGAATCTGGGGGAAGCAGGAAATAGAGGGGAATGCTGGCTATTTTTCTGTAGGGAAAGCACCCTGCAACTGTTTTTGCATAACTCCCAAAAGGCTTCCTTTACTTTCCAGTTTCCACATTAACATTCATTCATCCAATTAATCTGCGGACATGAAGGCTTTACTCTAGAAAATTCCTGTAACAGCAAGAGCTATCTTTCTTCCCTATTCTAAGTCTATGTCAGCTATGGAAATACTAAGGGAGTTTGAATGAGCAAATCAATAAACTAGTCAAATTCACTGATCAACAGTGAGAGCTACTGAATTTGTTCAAATTTTTAAACTTTTTGCAGCAGGCCATCTTACGACATCTCGTTTTTAAAAATACTCGTATTTATTTTATGGGTAGGAGTGTTTTGCCCACATGTAATATATACCACCACATGCATGCCCATGGAGGCCAGAAGAGGGGGTCAGATGCCCTGAAACTGAAGTTCCAGGCAGCTATAAGCTCCCACATAGATGATGGGAGTGGAACCTGGGTCCTCTGCAAGAGTAGCAAGTACCCTCAACCACTGAGCCATCCCTCCAGCCCCGAAATCTTATTTTAAAGGGAAGCTTAAGCAAACTTCCACTCTATTTCAATTTCAAAATGATGTGGTTGTGTTGATTTCCATACAAAATAAAACATTTTTCTTTTTAAAACAGTTTCACAATAAAATAGCAAAGACTGCCTTATGTCCATTAGATTGGCTACTACTCTCTTTTGTTTTATGTGTGTGTTTTGCCTCTGTGTACGTCTGTGTATCACGTGTATGCCTGGTGCCCATGTGAGAGAGAGCACAGACTGCACTGTGGGTCAGAATATAAAGCAAAGGGGCCACTCAGAACACAGCACAGTGTGCTAATGGTTGGAGTGTTCCTTTCCAAACATACTGAGACTCTATTGTCACTGAGACTGTGTTGAAGGGTAGGAACTTTAAGAGGTGGTAATGTGTGCAGTGTGCCTCTCTCTCCATGCCATGCCCTCTGCTATGCTATGGCAGGAAAAAGGTCTTCATCAGCTGTAGCATCTTGCCCTGCAAACCCCTAGTCTCCAGATCTGTGGAAGACATACTTCCTTTTCTTCATAAATCACCCAGCCTGTGATATTCCGTTACAGTTGCAGGAATAAAAAGGGCAGTTCCTTAACAACAAAAGTACTAACTACTGGCCCACAACAGCTATGCCATAAAATATGGAGTCACAGCCTACGTGCATGTTTGTAGCAGCTGTCCTTTCAGAATAACAATCTCAAAACTCACTGGCATAACAAGAGATGTCCTTTACCTTGATGACAACCACAGGCTCAAGCCTTGCTCTTGAGATGAACACAGATCAGCACAGGCAGATGTGCACCAGGGAGAGAGGGGAGGAGACGAGGCAGAGATAAGGACCCTGCACACTTACTTTGCTTTTGTAAAACCGCCTCAGCCTTCTCTACTGTCACCAGGAGGCTTTCAGAAAGGTCTTTTCTTTTGCTCACTATTGAAAAGCCATTCCAGACGTACATCATTTCCTAAGGAAGAAGGAGGGTTTCATTGGCAACATGTGAGGTGTTTTGTGTCTAACCTTTATTCGTTTGGACCTTAGTGACGATTGCCCCTGGTTTTACCATACGCCTTTTGTGTTTTATGCTCTGAGGTAAGTACTCATGTATCTTATACTCCTACTAAAAATTCATTCATTCATTCAACAAACACATACTAATTATCTGCTAGCATACAATCCTTTGGATAGAAAAATAGATACAGAAGCAAAATAATATTTTAAACTGACACCAGGAACAACTTTGTTTAATGTAAATTTTTGTTGTTACTTTTAAGTAAAGGGAAATATTTTAAAATGTCTGCTACTTGTTTACATAAAATGTTTCCAAGCATATCACTAGAAATGATCATTGGAATATTTATTTTACTGGGCTCAGGTTCTTTTATATCATTAAAAACATGTGTCGGCCCAGTAATGCAATCCAATATGCAGAAAACACGTTTGTTTAAAGGCCATATGGCTGAATGACAGCTCCTGAAATGTAAACTAATGACTTCTCATTGCAGATTATTTAATGGGCTAACAGATGAGAATTTTTTTTGGATCAAAAGCAAATGTGTTCTTGCTTGAAAATATTTTTCTAATGTCCAGATAGTGTAGTTCACGTTTTAAAGGATATACGATGAGCATGAATTTTAAGTTATGACAGATATTATTTGATAATTCTCTTAGCAGAGCATCCATGGAAATGAGGCAGGAAATGATGGCATCAGGTTTGCTTTATGGCACTGGAAGCTAAGAACACAACTCAATAACAGTATTTTTAACCTTGTGATGATTTAAATTTTTTATTGATGTAGTATTTATCAAAAGGAGAGGCAAGCTTGGTTTGAGATTTTTATGAAAAACAGGCTACATGTGACCAATTCCAGTCAATTCTTTGTCACTTTATACCCAACCTTCAGTTGATTCAAAGCATGATAAAGTCTTATACACAACAGTGTCTAAGCACTAATGTAGACAAAAAGAAACAGAATGGTTCAGTAAAGTTTCTGCAAAGTTCTCTGACATAGAAAAGCCTCAGTGCAGACCACTTGATATAAATGAATGAGAAACAGAGCTAAAGCTAATTAGGCAACAACAGGTCTGGGAGAGGAGGTCTCCGTGTTAGCACAGTGTTCTTGTTATTGTCTGTGCTCAGGACATGATTACAGGTCCATTACATTTCTTTCTCACCCAGTCTAATCTCAGGGTTCCAGGCTAGTTGCAGGTTAGCTCCTCTCTGACCCCTGCCAGGGGCTATGTTCTTATTCCTCTTAAAAATACATAAAGAACGTCTGTGTTTTGTCAGCAACAAGACAAAAATAACCCAATGAAACTAAAGAAGGACACAAACGACAATGCAGAAAGACTAAAATTGTATGAGCACAGAAAGACACTCAAGTGTCAGCCCAGAAATGCAAATTAAAAGAGAAAAGTATTATCCGTCATTTCAATTGATACAATTGTTTTGGGGGGAGGTAGAGACTTAGCATTATCTACCCAAACATTCATACAACACCTTAAACTAAGAATTCCGTTTCTTTGAAAACACTCTCAGGGAATTACATGTACATGTAAATGATGTTCACCGTATTATGGCTATTGACAGTAAAAACTAGAAAACTCGACATGAAGTTCAAAGGAGAATGATTAAATAATCACTCAGATAACTACCTAGGAGGACTGGGACACCAGTGTGCACTCAACATCTTTCCGGTTGGAAAACAGTTGGACTCATGGTGGCATAGCACATTCAGCACTCTCAAAAGATAGCTTTTTTAAAATTTTTAAATCAAATCATGTTTTTCAAAGGGGCTTTGCCAAAACAGTGAGGTGATTAGGAGGGTGAGCTCCAGTGGACAAGAGTGGCCTCCAGCCCGGAGGCTCCTCCGCAGTACAACATGCTAGTCCAAAGGGAGGTTCATCCCTGGTAGGAAACCCATGTCTACGGAAGGCTGCGGTGCAAAGGGCGTGGCACGGCTCAGGGACGAGTAGCCTTGTTTACACTTCCACATCAAAATGGCAAAGGTTTGTTTACATGGGTTAGAAATAATACTTTAGGGGTGGGGAAGCAGCTGGTTTTATACGACAGTGTCTCACTTTGTAGTCCAGGCTGGTCTAGCACTCACTATGCAACCCAGGCTGGCCTCAAATTTGCAGCAATTCTCTGGCCTCAGCCACCCAAGTGTTAGGATTACAGGTATGAGCTACCATGCCCAGATTAAGCAAACTGTATTCTTGAAAAATTATTCTTTAAAGGTTTCCTTTCACTTTTTCACATAACTATTAAAAAATGTAAAATTAAATTTGTGATTTGTTTTGTTGTTCAGTTCTATTTTAGTAACATCACCTTTTCCACTTATGTTCAAACTTCATCTGAAACATGGAATTGGTGAGATTACTTTCAATTATAATGAAATCACATGATTTTTTGAAGTTGCCTTTATTACAATGTCTAGAACATACTAACTAGTCAAGGCACAACAGGTAAAATTTTCATTTTTTTTAAATAATTAATGAATAAATATAAAAATATACAATACTTTTTAACTGAACTATAAGGTTCATAAGCAAAGGCAAATACGTTCTTTGATGCTCTCAACCATGAGTTTATCTCTAGCACATAAACGGTGAATAAAAGCAAATACCAGGGCTGGCAGGACTAGCTTTCCTGGGGCACCTGAGGAGGGTGAGTACCTCCGCGCCTTCCTCACAGCAAACTTCTCAGTCGGAAGAGATTTCCCAGCGATTCTCTGCTTCAAGCCATCAACCTGTCTGTGAAGATCCCCATGGAAAGGCCAGTGAGCACACATATTATTCACAACTGAGGTTTTCAGACCTGTATCACAGGCCAGTAGCAGCAGGGAACCTGCCCCAAGTGCACCTTATTGGGCTCTACCCAGATCTGAATTTGGCAGTGTAGGGTTGGGATGGTAATATGGATGTACAAGTCCATGAGAGCCCCTAACTGACACATTTCCTTCCAGTCTGCTTAGCTAGTGTCTTATGTCTGTCAAACATAGTCCAGGATAATCTAGGTATAAAATTGTTAATTTCCATAAATGAGGAGAAAAGAGCCCCAAGTATTTACCCATCCAGAGGGAACACTATAAATTAGTACATTTCTTGTTAGTATTTGTAGGAACGGACACATCTATAACGTCTAAAAGACAGCCATTCATACGCGTAATTTAAGAAAGCACAGGTAACTTTGTAAGTAATCATTTTAGGATTTAGTATTTTCAAAATGCTAAGGAATTTGGGCTGGAAGACGGCTCAGCAAGCAAGAGTGCTGGCTGAGTTCAAGTGCTGGGAACCCAGGCTAGTTTATGCAGCCTGTACCCCAGTGAAATGGGGAGGTAGAGACAGGAGGGTCACTGGGAGTTGTTGGCCAGCAGGATGGCTCCAGGTTCAATGAGGCCTTGTGAAAGAAAGTAAGGCAGAGAGAGTAGACTGGGACTCCTGTTGTTGTCCTCTGTCCTCTGCACATGTACAGGTATGCACACACACACACACACACACACACACACACACACACACACACCCCTATGTACATTCAACACACACAATCTAAGCACATGAAAATGAAACTTGGATGAAGAGACTACATGTTTGTGGGGAGAAGACCACATGTTTGGTATTGCTTCTTATGTATAATTCTATGAATGCATAAACAAGGAAAAGGATTGGAGCAAATATCCAATAACATCACCGAAAGAACCAAACGAGGAGGAAAAGAAGGCCAATATGAGAGAGCAGGTGCAGAGCCTTGGTATCTAAATCCTAATTCTAGGAAACAAGTAGAACGGTGCATATTCATGATTCCCAGACATGCAAACACATCTGAAAATCATGCTAAATCATGCTAGTTAGGCAGTGGTGGCACACACCATTAAGCCCAGCATTCGGGAGGCAGAGGCAGGTGGATCTATGTGAGTTTGAGAACAGCTTGGTCCACAGAGTGAGTTCCAGGATAGCCAAGGCTACACAGAGAAACCCTGCCTCAAAAAATGAATGACATGCTGGCTTTCAGCTAAATGCATTATTCTAAGTAAATGTGTCTGTATCAGTGAGTAGGGAAATAACAAACTATGGAAACAGAGCATGAAAGGAAAACTCAGATGCGTCTAACACCCCCAAGGTCTCTGTGACAGAAACAGCGCTGTGCTCACCTGAACAGAGCCACCACGTTCTCATTAGTTGCTGCCACATCCTCCTCTGGAAGCATGCTCAAAATGGCAGCTTTCAAAAAGACATATGTTGCCTTGAGGGAAAAAAGACAAGGGGCTCATGAGAGAACATTCATGGGAACATGACATTTTAACCTTGCAAACCAGAAGTGATCTAGAAACCATCCAGATATCAGGTTAAAAGGTATCAAGTGGGATGGAGAGATGGCTCAGAGGTTAAGAGCACTGGCTGCTCTTCCAAAGGTCCTGAGTTCAATTCTTAGCAACTACACGGTAGCTCACAATCATCTATAATGTGATCTGATTCCCTTTTCTGGCACACAGGTGTACATGCAGATAGAACACTCATATACATTAAATAAATAAATCTTTAAAAATAAGAAAGTATAAAGTTTGACTGTCTATTTCATCAAGGTCCCAATACCAAGAGGGTTAAGTGGATATGGGACCACATCCCTAACCAAGAAGCTATTTGCAATTGATACATGCTGGGAATAGGAAAATCAGTTTTCTACAAGAAGCATCACTGGGTATATTGACCATACTCCAGACAGGATGTAGCCTCATGCCTAAGAGAAACTGGCCAACATTTTTGTTGGTTTTTGTTTGGTCGTTTAGTTGGTTTTGGTTTTGTTTTGTAGGTTTTTTTTTTTTGTTTTTGTTTTTGTTTTTTGTTTTTTTTTTTGGTGGGGGAGGGCATTTGTTTTGTTCTGAAATTTGCTTTATTGATTCTGCGTGTTTGATTTTCATTTTTGTGATTTATGGGTTTGTTTGTTTAAAGAGAGAAAGGGGGAGAACATAAAGTTAGGAAAGATTTGAGGGGAGGGGACACTAGATAACACTACATTGTATAAAAATAAAATTTTTTAAAAATGACGCAAACACAGGCGTTAGTTCTCTGCTCTAACTGAAGTGATTAAAAAGCTCTGCTGTACCTGGGCCCAACAACATGTCTATAATCCCAGCACTTGGGACGCTGATCAGGAGGGCTGCCACAAGTTCAAGGCCAAACTGGGATTCATAGTGAGTTCCAGGCTAGCCTCGGCTACAAAGTAATATTCTGTCTCAAAAGACCAAAAACAAAAGAAAAAGGAATAGATGCTCCAATACATTGCACAATTGCACAACTACACAATTTTCAAAACTGAATAAAAATATCAATAACTATTTTTTTTAAGTCTGTTTCAGATGACAGCAACACTTTTCAGTTAATGTGACCATTCCCCTGTGCCACCATAGGTGGGAAAGAGGGCAGAATGAGCAAAAAAGATCATGATCTCTTCCTCCCAACTTCTCAAAATTGGCTCTGGATTAACTTTAATTATCACCAAAAACTTGACTACTAGGGATGAAAAAGACTACAAAACCCACAAAATTCCAGTATTGATCCACAGGACTGTAATCACACATGCAGTTTATGCTGGAGGTAAAATGCCTTTGTTGGAGAGCACTTTGGGGAAATTTTTAAAGCCTGAATGCTGAGGTCAGTACCTGCAATTACATACTAGTTACTCACTGCCCACTTCCTTCTAAGTGTCTATGCCACATTCTTGAAAAATCAGTCTTAAAGGACAAAGTACCATGGCCATGTAGCAGACAGAGGACACTGAATAAAGCAGGACACTTACCTTGGACCATTTACTCTCTTTGCAAAGCAGGTCTGAATAATAATACGCCTGCATCCAGTTTTGTTGGTAGATATGAATCCACATTAATTCCCAGTAACAGAGATGGTGAAACTGTTTCCACTCTTCTTGAACTGAAATGCATTTTCGAAATGTTTCTTGAGCCTATAAGTCAATTGCATAAAGCTGATCATCCAGATATTAGACAAGGAGATAATAACCTAATGGAAAAATACATAAAACACTTTGTACAAATATCATCACTCATTAAGCCACTCAATATGACATTACATTCTCTCCCTTCCGTGTGATGACACAGTTAGATTCTGCTGCTTTATTTCACTTTGTGATAGGACCTTGTACTTTATAAGACAGAAATGGAAAAGCCCATTTCCAAGTAAGATAGAAATGCCAAAGTTCTTTCCTAAAACACAGACTATTATAGTGTAAGAAACTCCATTAGACAAAACACATTTTAAACAAAATTCCAGGCACTGGACAGGCAAAGAGAAGGTATCACTGCTTACATTACAGGCAAAGGTTAACCAAGCCCTTGTCCGAAAATCTGGTAAAGATGTGCCAGACAAGTCAGAGAAAAGAATAATAAATAAACATATAACAAATTCAGAAACTGACTACCTAAACTTGAAACTGGGCTAGGAACATAGTTTAGTGGTAAGACACTTGCTCAGCATACACAAAACCCTAGACTTGACCAGCACAACAAATAATAATAGTAATAATAATATGAAGTCAAAAACTCAATTTTTGATCAGAAAGGAGAGGAGAACCTCCCCTATCAGTGGACTTGGGGAGTGGCATGCATGCAGAAAGGGGAGGGAGGGTGGGATCGGGAGGGGAGGAGGGAGGGGCTTATGGGGGGATACAAAATGAATAAAGTGTAATTAATAAAAAATAAAAAAAACCTCATTTTTTTTAACACCCATCACATGGGTAAAAAACTTTAAGGACAGAGATTTCCCAAGTTAACAAAGAACACTAGAAATATGGATTCCCATGTGTTTACAGATTCATTTTTTATTTGTATGTGTGAGTGCCTATAGCCTGTATATATGGGCACCACAGGGATGACGGCTTCGTGGCCCGTCACCAGTACTAGATCCCTTTAGTAAGTATAAAATATCCACCTCACAGAAGAAAATCCAGCCTTCAAAATGAGCAGAGGCAGACTCAAACATAAAGACCTGGAGGAAGACCTAGAGTTCACTAAAAGCACAAAAACATGTTTCCTCTCATTTGTATGGAGGGATATCATAGACACAGCACACACACACACACACACTTTTCTCTTCTACTTCAATGTAATTAATCAACTAGTTTCTTCAAAAAAAACAACAGTGCAGCACTTGCAACAAAGGTTAAAGATAGTTTCCAAAATCAAAGGAGAAATAGATAATGGCCAAAGTTTTCTGAAACCTCTTAATTTGCCCATGTATTATTTTATATATTATTTTGTTTTCTATGGGGGGAATAGTTCTTCTATGTAGCCTTGGCTGCTCTAAACTCACTTTGTAGACCAGGCTGGCCTTGAACTCACAGAGATCTGCCTGCCTCTGCCTCTCCAAGTGCTGGGATTAAAGGCATGCAACACTGTGCCTGCCTTACACATTCTTTTTTTCAGTATTTGTTACACATTCCACCATGAAACACTTGATGTACTTTCTGTGTAAACACGCATTGAGGTAAGTTACTAAATATGACAGCATATATGCACAAAGTAAAGGCTCAGCTTTTCCAAATTACATTCCAGTTTATTCTTTCTAGTCCGTGTCACCACATTGCCTCATGCTGAATGACCATGTGATGCCGTCTGACCACAGACACCGCCCCTACGTAACCCTTGCTAAAGTGGCTACCTTTTCAACATTGCCTTTCAGCAGCTCAATTCGGGCATGGTAGAACAGAATGAGGGAGCCCTGCGGAGAGAGCAAAGGACACACTCAGCAGACAGTGGTGGCCGCGAGTCTCGGCTGGAACAGACAACAGAACAGGAAGCATACGTTTGGGAACTGCTGCAGGAAGGGTGCGAGGAGACTCTCCGCCTCCGCAACATTGACCTCTCCTGTACCTGGAAGTGAACAAACACAGCTCAGTGTTCAGGAGCTACGGCGCGTATTTATAATCAACTCCCCAGATGCCACTAACCCCCAGCAGACACTCATGGACAAGAGGAAGGGCACTGATTATTTTGTTTTCATCTGTGAAGTGTCTGACTTAAAGAGCTCTAGGCCAGATGAGTTCTTAAGAATAGAGGTGGCTATCTCAGACTCCCACTGACATTTCTACTTTTCAAGGCTAACTTACTTTACCTCCAAATTTAATTTCTACCAAAAAAAAATGGAAATCCAACATGAATATAATAAAAATCTAACAGGAATATGGCAAAATACAACAACTTAATGCATAAATCTTTTCTGAGACTAGATTTTTAAAATGTTTAATAAGGGATTAGAGAGCTGGCTCAGTAGTTAAGAGCACTAGCTATTCTTGAAGAGAACCCAGGTTCAATTTTTAACACTCACATGGCAGCTCACAACCATCTGGAACTCCAGTATCAGGGGATCTAATAGCCTCTGTGAGCAACAGGCATGCACGTGGTCCACACATGCAGACAAAACATGTGTATGCATAAAATACATAAATACATATAAGCAATTTTTAAAAAGATTTCATATGTTATTTATACATATGAACACTCTATTTGCATGTATGCCTGCATGACAGAAGAGAGCATGAGATCCCATTATAGTTGGTTGCGAGCCACCAAGTGGTTGCTGGGAATTGAACTCAGGACCTCTGGAAGAGCAGACAGTGCCTTAACTGCGAAGCCATCTCTCCAGCCCCATATAAGCAACTTTTAAAATGTTCGGTGGAAACAATCAAGTGCCTCTGCCAAGGATCACTCTGATAAACCCCACTATCTTCCATCTTAACTCAAAAACAACAAACAGAAGCAAACAGACAGAGACGACTAGCTCTTACCGAGAATCAGGGAGATGTAGGTATGGAAAGCCAGGATGGTAAGGCAGCAGAGCGGGGACCGCATGCTGCTCCCTGAGGCGCCTTCCCGTAGCTGCAGAAGGCCCAGGTCCTGCAGGGAGCAATTGCATCACAGACAGAAAAAAATCTAACTGAAAAAAAGATTATATTTCGAAAATATAATATTTGTTCCTGAGTATTGCCCTCTATGAACTTAGGGTTTTATTTTCCACCAGCTTGGAATAATGTTACTGTTTAAATAGAAAAAAAAAAAAAAAAAGTCACGTTTTAAACTGGCATAAGACAATCTGGTAGGTCTTTTTATAATAGCCCCAGTTAGCTTTAATTGTCCATTTCACAGGCCCAGAGTCATCTGAGAGGAAAGCTTACACTGAGGAATTGCCTAGTTTAGACTGGTCTGTGGGCATGTCTTCTGGGGATAATGCTTGACGAAAGAAGACAGCCCACTGTGATCCCTGGGCAGGTGCTGCTGGGCTGTAGAAGGAAGCTGGCCAAGCACGATCCTACAAGCAAGACAGCAAGGCAGGAAGCAGGCTTCCACCACGGCTCCTTCCTCCAGGTTCCTGCCCTGACTTCCCTCAACAATGCACTGCAACCTGGAAGCATAAGGTGAAATAAATCCTTTCCTCCCCTATATTGTTTCATCATAGCAACAGATATCAAACTAATCTATACCCGTTACATGATTCTATCAAGAAGAATAAACTGCTCGTTTCAAAGAAATACTGTATTTCTTTGATAAAATTAATGATATACACACTAAGCTGCTAGGGACTTGTCTCAACTGTAGAGCACTTAACCAAGCATGAGTAAAGCCCGACCTGGCTTTACTCCACAGAAAACCACAGAGGTTCAAGCTGAAGGCACTATGATGGGCAAGAATACAAGATTCTACCCTGCAGAGTCCTTGCCACTCAACAGCAAAGGTGGAGCAGGAGCTCATAACTTCATGCTTGACGAAAGAAGACAGCCCATGTGATCCCTGGGCAGGGAGCAAAGTGGGCACCATCAGAAAGATGAATACATGAGTCCCAAAATTAGAAACGCTTGAGCCTCGTTTGCAAGTCTGAGGGAGCACTGGGTGAAAGGGTGCTTATCCCAAACCTAAGAAATGACGCATTCTTGAGAGAACATCGTTTGACAAAAGCTGGGTGGGGAAGAAACACCACTACAGGGAACAACAGAAATTTCTGCAACTTTAACACAAAATGCCATTTGTACCCTGTTTCCAGAAAATCCAATAAATTCCAGTAATCTGATAATTCTTGCTGGTAAAAGAGACAGCATCTGTAAGGGAAAAAATAGCAATGTGAGTGTGCTTATGTGAGAGACTGACTATAGACAGCCCACTGGTTATCCCTAAACTGTTTGAAAGCCCCCAGCAGCCAAACCAAGTCTAAACTGATTACAACTCAGTGAGGAGACAATGAAGCCTGGCTTTCCCATGAGGCTCTAAACGCCGACTTGGATCTTCTCGTGTGAAATGAGGTGACACAAAAGCAATCATGTGTAAGGCTTCTTTCTTCCTTTCCATTTTTGTTTTGTTGGGTGAGGGCCTCATCTGTAGCTTAAGCTGGCCTTGAACTTACAGTGAGCTCCTCCCGCCCGAGTGCTGGATTACTGGCATGAGCCACCATTCCTGGCTTAGGCAAAGTTTTCTTCAGCTTCCTTTCTGGAAGGTAACAAAGCTAAGGAGATGTGAGTAATGAACCAGCACTAATGGAAGTAGACAGCCACAGCAGTGCGGCTCCTTCCTGGGACATCCCTGAAGGACAGTGGAGAGAGAACAGTCTCCCAGAAATGGCCATCTATGTGGTGATAGACCAATTCATGGCTGTAGCAATGGGTTGGAGCTAGGGGTTCTGGAAATATCTCTCTGAATGGGAGACATTGTGTCCCAGGTGAATGATGAGGGTTTCACAGCCAAGCAGACAGAATGGCAGTCCATGGAGAAAAGTCAGTCCACCTTAACCCCAGACACTGCATTGCACATGGGCTCGTGAACACAGCCCTGGGGTCTATAGGCTCCTAAATATGATTCTTTTCACTACTTCATTTTCCAACGAGTTAAATCTTCAAAAATGCCCAAATCTCTAAATAACACATTGTACTCTGATGTCTTACTGAACTCTCCATCTCACCCAGAGACCATCAACAATCATTCCTCAGGTTGTATTCACTCCCTCCCGTTTTTAACTCACAGCCAGTATCACCACAACAACTATCTCCGATGCAGAAATAGAACTAGGTTCTAGGCTCCTCGTTACTAAAAGCCTTACTAGTTCAACCAGGGTGCTACATGCGTCCCTTGCCCTGTGTGATCTAAAGCTACTCCGGGCACGTGCAGAACTTCGTAACATTGACAGCACAGGAAAACCAGTTCACTCCAGTGGCTCTTCAACCAAACGCCAGGAGAGGCTTGGGATGAAGTTCAAACATAGCAGAGAGATACTGGACATTTGGTCTCACCTACAAAAAGACTCTGGTTTCTATATAAATGTTTCCTTACCAAATTAAAGGCCCCTGTTCCAAGTTTGACTCCTCCTTCAAACTCATAGAAGAAGTGCTGCTCATGTTTGTTTTTCTGAATTACGTGCAGGATAGAAAGGCACTCTCTGGATTGAGGGGGGAAAAATGGTAGAGAATAAGTTTCCATGACTCTGACAAATACATGCTAGTCAAATTTTACACTAGTACACTATAAATGTCATTACCTAAAATGTTACAAAAATGCAAATTTTGATTTTAAGCTAGTCTGTTCCTAGGCTCCTGAGCAATTCTGACTAAGGAGAAAGGGAACACCAGTTTCTACAGAGTTTAGGATAGAGGGATCAAGCATCAGCTCAGCTTAGGAGCCACAGAACCTCAGGGCTTCGATCTCAGCTTCCCTGGAGCATTTTCCAGGAGACTTCAGGAGAGTTTGGGTACTAGGAGCACTCGGCAGCCATGCATTCTACCCTCAAACTCGAACACTACAGGCGAAAAGATTTCAGTTCCATGCGGCTGCCACAGTCTCACACAGATACAGCAGAGCTTGCTGAGGCTATTCCCATCACAACTGGGTCATCTGTCTTATATTGTCCCTCTGCAGAAGCAAAGAGGGTGGTGGAAGTGACCGAGCCCAGGGCTCTCCTACACTAGGAAGGCTCTCTACTGCTAAGCTGCACCCCCCGGACTTCAGACCATCCTCAAAAGACAATAATCAAAGGCGTGGACGTTGGCAGGAAGTGGTAACTGCTTGCTGAACTGGGAGACAGCCTTTTGAGAAGGTAATGCAGGGGCGTGTCTCAGTGTCAAGACATCTGCATATTGTCCCCCTCCCAGGTTCCATCTCCAGTGCCAAAGAGCACCAATCACCCGTCACCAATAGAACACAAGTCTGTAAGGCACACAGCTTCCCTTATGATGCTTTCTAGCCAAGTCTAGCAAGCTCAGAGCTAACCTGCTCTATAAGCAGGATTAACTGACCAGTGGAGCCAATTTGGTTCAGGCTCCTTCCAACTTCCAACCCTCCCATGTTGTCATCTGCCCTAAACCACCAGTATATCATATTTGTTTTCTCTTACACACACACAAACAAACCAAAACCAATGGCATGGTGGCACATGCTTAAAATCCCAGCACTCAGGAGGCTGAAAACAGAGGGATTTCCAGGATTTCCTGGGCTATGAATGAGTTCATGGCCAGTCTGGGCTACAGAAGGAGACATGCCTCAAAATAGAGATTAAAGAGACATGACAGCTTGATGTGAATCCCAGTGCTGAGATCCAAATTTTGGTCCTGTGACAATCTTAACCTCTGAGACATGTCGCCAGCCCCAGGCTTTTAATTTTGAGATCATAAAATAGTTCCTTATCTTCTTTCCTAATAACTTAAAATTTTGTCTGTTTCGTTTTTTGTTTTTCAAGACAAGGTTTCTCTGTGTAGCCCTGGTAGTCATGGAGCTTGCTCTGTAGACCAGGCTGGCCTTGAACTCAGAGATTCGCCTGCTTCTGCCTCCTGAGGAAAAAAAAATTATTTGATTAATCGTGGTTTTACTTTAAAACAGTTTTCAAAAGAGGATTTACCTAAAGTATTTCTCTTTCGGCACTATTTCAAAAGAATTCATGCACAAATAGGAATTCGGGATAGTGTGAACTTCTGGCTAAGTATCTGAGTGTACCAGTACATGCGCACACACCCAACACACTGAAGCCCTGTTGTCAATCCTGCCACTGCACTGATGCTGTCGCTGCCACCACGGGACTACCGAAATTCATCTTTAAAGTTCTAATGACTAGAAAAGCAGTCAACTTTTTAATCTTCTTAAAAATACCTGGAAAGGAAATCTAAAAACATTAGGATGCGTTTCCCAAATCTACTCCCGCTTTCAAGATTTTTTAAAAATGAATTCCAGGTTTTCATAATGAGTAAAAGTGCCTATTAAAATACTGATTTGTGCTCTGCTTCTGGTAGTGGGATTTGTTCCCAGTAATGCCAGGAAGCTTATGTTAGGTTTGCTTTCCCACACATAACAATTATAAACCCTGAAAAATACACAAAAAATATATAGTTAAAATATTTTTGCAGGCTTGGAAACTGAAGGTGCTGGGGGAATAGGCAGAAACAGGAGAAGAGTTAAATTTGAAAGCAGGAAGTAGCTCATGAATTAACTTTATATTTACGTGTCCATGTGCCTGAAAGCATGCTCCACTCCATATGGGTGCACAAAACAATTGGCAAGCCACAGCCTCGCTGGGTTGAAAAGTCGGAAGACTTGAGTTTGAGGCAGCTAGAGGGGCTGGGTGGATACACAGCTGGGAGAACCATGCTAATGGGAACAGCAAAATCTGTGTCAAAACAACACAGAAGTCTTCACTGACTAGGAGAGGGTCCAAGGTAAGACAATGTGGATTATCAAGAACAGGAGCCATAGCAGAGCTACAGGTGCCGTGCCCCTCCAGTGTCAGAGTTGGGAGCCCAAGTCTAAGCAAATTAAATGCTCCCAGGACAGAGCTTGGCACGCTTCAGAGAAAGGATGACAGAATCCAGCATCTCTACAAATGCATCAATATCTAGGATATGATTTTAAAATTATCCCACTTGAGAACATGACAAGCAGGCAAGAAAAAAAAAAAAAGCAATGAATAGAAATTGACTCCAAGATGGCCCACATGTTGGGCTAAAATAAAAAAGTGGGTGTGGGTATGTATGTAGTTTACTGAACACAATCCAGGCTGACTAGTGTGTAATTGTGGGTTTAGAGGGAATAAGTGAGAAAAGACTCAGGAAAAAAAAAAAAAAAAAAAAAAACTTTGAGAAAAATAATGGCAACAAAAGTCTAAGCCCACACTCCAAATGCTGAATTCAAAGATACAGCACGTTCTTCAAGGAGATGAGAAAAATGACATATTAAATATGTGAGACAATTACACAAACAGCTGTGGTCCTAAACAATTACAAACACTGGTGGTTTTAAAGGACTGAAAAAAACAAACACCCTATCAATTCAGAACATTATACAGAGCAAGAATATCCTTGAAGGTAAAAGCCAAAATAAACCGATTTTCAAAAAAGTGAAAACAGAAGAAAATATGGAAAGTTGATACTATGAGAAATGTTAGAAGAAGTTCATCAGCATAAAGGTGAACAGAAACAATGTCAAATGCAATGGTAAGCAGAGCAGAGTAAGGCAAAGGTCTTTAAAACAAGATGATCCTGTATCACGGGTTTAATGGTAACATAGAACACAAGAATAGTTTAGAAGGCTGTCCTATAAATGCTCATCTTGACATAGCCTAGAGTCACCTGTGAAGGGAGCCTCAACTGAGGATTATCAAGAACAGATTGGCCTGTGAGCAAGTCTGTGGGAAATTGTCTCGATTACTGGGCTATAGGAAGACACAGCCCACCGTGGGCAGCGTCATTCCCTGGGAAGGTCCTGGGCTGTGTAGGAAAGCTGAGCACAAGCATACCCGTGAGCCAGCAAGCGTTGTTTCTTTAGGGTTTCTGTTTCAAGTTCTTGCTTGATAGCCTGCTCTGATTTCCCTCAATGATGGACTGTGGCCTATAGTGTAAGTCAAAAAAATCCTTTCCTCCCCTATTCTGCTTTTGGTCTAAGAGTTTTATCACAGCAACAAAAGGAAGCTAGAACAAAGGCCAACTGGTAGCAAATGAAACTATGTTTTCACAAAGCTCTTACAGTTTACACATAATAGTACTGTATTAGTAAGCTAACTGCAATACACCAAGAAAGACATTATAATCACTACATTATCCATAAAAACTAGAGACACAAAATTATAGTAGGTTTTTTTTTAAAGTTTTTATTAAAGCAAGCCAAATGTAGTGGCATGTGCTTATAATCCCAGCACTCCAAAGTCTGAGGCAAGAGAAAAGGGCTTTAAAGCCAGGCTGTGCTATATAGTAAGACCCTGTCTCAAAATAGATAAACAAACAAACGAATTAATGAATAAAAAAATAAAAAGACACACACACAAATAACAACATAAATACAAAATATACAAATAATTCTAAGGAGAGCTAAATGAAGGTTATCTAACCAGAAACTGTGTCTGCCCCTTTCTCTTCCAGTATCTGCTCCTGGAAGTGAAGGTAAAGTTAAGCCTTGCTGCCCAGCAGCACCCAGTATACTCAGGAAGGAACCAAGTGCACTTACTAACACCAAAGGAAGAAATCCAGCCATGCTGAGTTCGTAAGAATTTTGATGAGCAAAATGTATAGAATAAGAATAACTTTAAAAGCCAATCTTAGTGAGGTAGCTGCACTTGACTATAATCCCAACACTTGAGAAGCTGAGGCAAAAAAATCACGAGTTTCAGGCTAGCCTAGCTACAGAATAAGAGCCTGTCTTCAAAAGTATTTAATTTCACTTTCAGTCACATTTTACTTTATAACTTACTTATATATTTGGTAACTTGTTCTAATTTTGAGTCCACCTTTGATGAAGTTGATCATATTTTCATCCTGAAAATAATACAATTAAATAATTAGAGCACTTAGGGGAAAAAAACCAGTATATATTTGAATAATGAGAGAAAAGTGTGTGTGTGTGTGTGTGTGTGTGTGTGTGTGTGTCTGTGTGTGTGTCTGTGTGTGCTTCTAGGAATGGAACCTAGAGCATGCTGGGTAAACAAACACTTTTACTACTAAGCTACATCCCTAGTCTCAAATACTAAATTTTGAGTGCATAATTTTAAAATCGATACATAATTCTTACTTTGCATTTGAAATGTGTCATTTTGTAATTTTCATAGAAGTTTGAAGGTAGTGAAAACACGTTTTTAAACGCTTCTACTATCTTGAGAAAATAATCCTCAAAACTTTGGAGCCAAATGTAGTCCAAAGCTACCTCAATAAGCATCATCTACTGGGTAACACTCTTCTGGGATCAGCGGTACACAGAACACTTGGCTACACAGATCTGTTCTCAGGCTAAGCTTTCTCATCCACCATACCCAGCTCTTCTTTCAGTAGTGCTTGGACAGCATAAATTTCATTTCTAAAAATTTACAGACCAAAAGTCACTGATCTAAAAATTCTGACGTGGTTGTCACTAACATGGGGGTAAGGGACCATTTTACTTCTCTTTATTTGAGGTTTCTCAATCATGAGACTGAGACAGTTGGTCAAAATGAATGGCATTTTCAAGACCAGCATTCTAAACGAGAATCCTAATAAACTGCACCAAATAACCAGCTGAAGGACATTATGTTAATGACAAGAGACAGGCCCTCGCTTCACTATCCTAAGAAGATTTGCTAGTCTAAGGATCTCATATGCTTTTGAAGCAAAAGAGAAACTGTTTTTAGTTTAATATTCTCGTTAGCTACTTGTATTATTATACAAGTCAGTAAGTACAAAATTCACTATGAAACTTAAATTTCTTATTTTAAGAAATCTTATATTTACACAAGCCAAAAAGAAATGTCTTGGGTTCGATTAAAGTCTAATAGTTTTATTCCATGATTCAGCAAACACTGAGCTCTTAAGAATTTTGGTGAGCAAAATTGTATAGAATAAGAATAACTTTAAAAGCCAATCCTAGTGAGGTAGCTGCACTTGACTATAATCCCAACAATAATGCAAATGCTTATTTTGTGTTGGACACCTGGACGCAGAGACAACATGGCGCTAAGTGACTAACATGCACAGTGATGGGGGCATGCACGGGGAGTCATGAAAACACAAAGTGGGGCATGACGTCAGCCAGAAAACCGCCCTGGATGCATCGGTGCTTTTAGCACAAAGAAAGGACAAGCAAAGACCAGGTAAAAGAAGGCAAAGCGGTCCTGAGGTTATATGCAAAGGAAACCTCAGCTGACGTACCAGGAAGCATGAAAGACCACGTGGGGCCAGCCGCAAGTCCAGAGACGAGAGCTAACAAAGCAGCTACTGCAGAGAAGAAAGGAGCAGAGCAGGAGGACAACTATAAGGGAGAAGTGGCAGACTTGGGGGGAGGCACAAGTGCACCTTGGAAACCCCTTCCCCATTTATGACACTCTGATACAGAACACTGACAGAGTCCGAGAGGGCCATGAAATGCAGAAGCAGAAAATAACAAGGTGGAAAGGCTCATTTCTGAATGAGTCCTCAATCACAGAATGCAAGATGAGCGAAAAGTAAAGAGAGGCCGGGGACAGTCCCTCAGCTGCTGTACAATCAATCCTGCAGACAATAGTGAGCATCACCAGACAATGGTGAGCCAGAGGAACACAGAGGAAAGGCGGAGCTGCAGATTCTTAACAGCCAAAGCACAGATACTGAAGTGACCAGAGGCAGACATGAGGAAGAGCTAGTGGACAAATCCTCAGTTATAAAACAAAGTTGTAACCCTAACATCTGATTGTCAAATCCCCACTTAGAAAATACAAAAGAAAAAAAATCAGGGGTCTTAAAGACTCATGTTAAGATGTTACTGATGTGATAAGGCTGCTGTAATGCACAGGGCCTCAGAGAATCAGACAAAAGGATCACACTGATTTCATTTTACTGAACCAGAAACTAAGCAAAAATACCATCACCCAGAAAAACAGAGAAGTAACTTTCAAACTAATTTAAAAGTTTGAGATTGTTTTCTGCCTGCTTATCATCTCTACTCTTATCCCTCACTGGGCCACAGTGTAAAATTCACACCTCTAAAAGCCCTGGAGCACACACATGGAGGCAGCAGGCAGGATTTAAGTACCTCATAAGAAAAGGATTCCTGTCTTATAAAAACTGTTCTGGCCAGGCAAAGTGGTCAGCTCTTGAGAGGCAGGGACAGGCGATCTTCATGAGTTCAAGGCCAGCCTGGTCATATAGAAAGCTCCAGGCCAGGCAGGGATACATAGTGAGACCTTGTCTTACAACAGAAACAAGAAAGGGGAATGAGGAAAAAACGGGTGGGAGTGGGTAAAAATGTGAAGGGTCCTTGAAAAAAGAGTGGTTATGCGTGTGGAAGTGAGCTTCGCAGAAGCAGGTGACACAGTAAGGGATGGGCAAAGGTCTGAGGGCCTCCTCAGCCTGGAGTCATCTTTGTTCTCACACAAGAAGCATCCTACAAGTTATCTGAAACAGACACTCTGCATATCTGAATGGGAACACAAGTCTCTGGAGCCTTCTTTCAGGCAAATGATATCGGGATAACAGAATCTTTCATTACCACTCTAAGTCTCAGTGCTAAAACAGGCTGAGCAATGTCCGCCATTTTCTGTACAGTGTCGGCAGGCTCCCCACCCAGCGCCGACGCCCGGGCAAACGCCCCTTACCTGCACAAATGTGAGCGCCGCTTTCTGTAGGAGGCACTCGGCATAACAGATCTCGGCATGCATCTCCTCTGTCAAAAACAGATACAGTTATGTTAAGACACCGCATTGCTCACGGCATGCTGGAAAGGCTGGAAGCCAAATGAGCCCCAGAGAGATCCAAGGGCTTACATGGCTTCCGTGCTTCCAGAGAAACAGGATGACTTGTTCTTACTCCTGGTGTAAAAGTTTCCTGGAACGAGTGAACTATTGGGGCCATCTTCAGCCCCATTCAACCTTAGCAGGAAGAAGAGGAAAACAACTGTATGTTTGAGACCTTGGAGCAAAAAAGTAGGTCTGAAACTCACTCAGTAGCCCAGACTATCCTTGAACTCATAGCAATCCTCCTGCCTCAGCATCTTGATACTGTGACTATAGGCATGAATCACCATGCCTGACTGAGAAATTGCAAAAGCTCTTTCGAGAGAAGAAAAACTACCTTTAAAAAAATAGTAGCATAAACTTCTAGCAGGACAGAATGAAAAAGTTCATTAAAAGTATGAATCTTCTAAACTGTGAAGGTCTGGGTATCATGACACTGATCAGGCAGAAAGCAGCCATTCCCTACAGATGTAGGAAAAGCACATCAGTGTGCATAAAGCAGGGATTCTTAGAAACAACAGAAAAGGGGCTGTACTTTCCAACTTACCAATGTTCTCAGACCTGAACACAAGCTCTCAAAAAAGAGCTGCCATGGCCATGCCAGCTCAGGGACGTGTACAGCCCCCCAAACATGCCCTGGCATCCTACACAATCCACTATATTTGCAGAGATCAGGGAAAGAGATCTTGACGTTTCAACATAAACAAAATCATCAGATTCCTTTCTCCATGGGATGCCAATTGGGTTATTTAAGTAAATGAGCTTGGAGGAAACACTCTGCCATGAGCTACTGTGGAGCACTGTGAGGGCTGCCCTCCCTCTCTGCTGGTCTCCTCATTTATATGGTCCACTAATAATGCCTCTACTTTGCAACCAAGGATGAAATGAGGATTGCCTGTAATGCTTATCAGGCACAGGAAGCCTAGATGAGTGCTGGCAACTTTCACCATCATTGCTTTTGGCCCACGTCTGTGCTTCCTGGTAAGGGTTCAGAATGCACAGGCCTTTTCAGTACAAGTGATGGGACAACTTGGGGAAACCTGTGTCACTGACAACAGTGTTGACCAAACTAGGTAAGAACGTATATTTTTCTTCATTTACACACGCATAACTCACGGGCTCTTACAGACGTCACTTAAATGCTCAGTTTATGAGAAGTAACACACAAAGTTCCCCAGCAACAGACAGGCAGATGGGGTGGAGGACAACACCAGGGCATCGTGCTGTGCGCGCCCTGGCGCTGCCACCAGTCAAGACTGCAGTCTCCAGGACAGCTTCCCTCAAAGTGTGCCTCCTGGTTGTCTCCGCACCTCCTGGGGAATTCGAACAGGCAGATTATTTTCTGTCACCTGACTAGACTCTTCCTAGGTAACTGCCACAGCGGCAACCCTCTGAGGTTGTTAATGCCAAAGGCCACCTTAGGAACAGACTACTGGCCTGCGGCAGGTTTAGGGGACAAGTCAGCACTGGTATAGGACCAGAAGAAAGGAGAGAAGGTGCAGGCACCCTTCCCTAAAGCGCAACCGGAGTTCCTTTGCCTGAGGTCTGCGAAGAAAGGAGATGGCAGCAGGGTAGAAAGGCCGGTCAAGTTGCCACAAGGGCAGTGCCAAATGTTACAGCTGGTCTGATTCGGTAGACTAAACAAGCAGGTCCTTATCAAGATCTGAGCAGAAGGGCAACTAGACCAAAGTCAGACCAAAGACAGACAGGCTACAACACAAAGCAGAGAGATCTGAACTCTGCAATTCACAGGTAAGTATTCTTCCTATCAAATCTCTTTCACATCCTAAGCATTACACTCTCGGAGTCAGTCGACCTGGAGCCATCCAGCCACGTGACCCATGGGAGGAGAGGAGCTGGTGTGTTCCACATTCATGTAGTATACTCACTCCTGAACACAGCTTGAAACTTGGCAACGTAAACAAAACTTACCAACAGGTAAACAATGCCTATACTAAAGCCACAGCGTTCGCCATGGCCTGTTGATCTGGTTAGTTTTTTTTGTGAGCTATTTATGAGCTATTATGAGCTAGTTATCCATGGAGGGGAAATTCAATCACAGAAATAACCTCCATCATACTAACCAACAGGAAAGTAGGCTGAGCAAGCCATGGGGAGCAAGGCAGTATGCAGTCCTCTACAGTATGATCTCTGCTTCAGTTCCTGCCTCCACGTTCCTGCCTTGGCATCCCCTGTTAATGGTCTGTAATATATAAGCCAAATATGCCCTTGTTCACACCAACATAAAGACTTATATACCCCTCAAATACAAAACGTATTTTGAGGGGGCAGTACAGCCAAAGGCCCTGGGAATAACATACAACTTAATTTTTTGAGCTCTATTCCTTCATCATTTCTGACTTACATTGGATAACTTCTTCAACCGTTGCACTTCCTAATTATAAATTCCTTAGCCCATGAAAAAAAATTCACAGTGCACCCAAATCCTGGCTAAGCACAGCCATTCTGTAAGTCTAAAGATATTTATAGTTCAAGGGAAACTACAGACATGGGCTAGTTAATTTTTTAATAACTAGGTACAAAGTCCAGATTTCCTAAAGTGCTATGTTTAAACACAATGAGGAAAAACCAGAAGTGTCATTGATTTTCCAGATAATCCAATGTTTCCATCAGCCATGTAAGATGTTTCCTAGCCCCCTACAGGAGAGCAGGGGAATGGGGGAAGAGCAGTGATTTAGTGGTTTAGGGGAAGCAGACCAGTTTAAATGCTGCTGAGAGCTGGGTCACCTTGGCCTCTTATTCTCTGTGAACATCAGTTAAACACATTAATTAGGTCGGTTAATGTTAAGGAAAGCAGAAAAATGTACCTGGCACACAGAGGACACTTTAAAAAAATAGAACATTATTATATTTTAATTTTTTTTCTATATTCACATCAAAAATACCATATCATTCTTATTAAAACTAAGGTTTAAAATTCTCCAATGTCACTTTCATACTACAAAAAAAAAAAAAAAAAAAAAAAAAAGGGAAGCAGGAGTCACTGGACCAGGGGAGAAGCTACTGGTACCCAGGAAGAAAACTACAAATGCAAGAGTCATACTAACGCCAATTTAATCTTTCATGGATTGTCTCTGGAACACCTTAGGCCTACTAGTACCAGCTTTTTTCCTTACGAGTACTTGGAGGTCAGTTTCTGATGAAAAAGTAGATGGCTTTCCAACTGTGAGCAGTAACCAACACAATTCCATGTTTCTGTCACGGTTGAGACAACACTACACCCCTTTTCAGGAAGTCCTAAAGACATGTGATGTGTCTCAGTCCTCACAATCAACACTCAAAGCTGAGTCACTCAAATGTGCCTAATTGCTCCAACATCCCCAACAAGCTGACAACATACCTACAGGACACACAAAGCCCTGTGGTAAACATCACTTGACGTCGTGCAACATCTGCTGTCATCAGGACTGCTTGACAGCCAGCTCAGGGCACGCTGGCTTTCCCCAGCCATGGCCGCTCCAGCGTTTTGTACTAACCACCTCTCCAGGAACAGCCTTTGAAATGACAATACAGACACAGATTTCCCCAGAGACAGTGCGGCTTCTGGGGACTTCCTAGGTGCCCCTTGGTGGTGGGCCACCCTTCTGCAGAGGGCTGATGAGGGCCACTTCTGCCCTCCTCACAGAGGGAATATAGAGCAACTGACAATGTTTCCTCCCATCTATCTGATCAAGTACTTTCCTGGACTCCTGACTATTCTTAAAGCCAACAAACCAAACACCTTCATCAGCTGTGTAGACAGCATTATTTTAAAGGTATAATAATTATCCAGATATAGTGGCATACGCCTCTGATCTCAGTACTCGGGAGGCAGAGGTAGGTGGATCTCTGTGAGTTCAAGGTCAGCCTGATCTACATAGTGAGTTCAGACCAGTGAGGAGTACACAGGAAGACCCTCTGTGAAAAACAAAAAATGCTTTTACGTTGGAAAAGGGTTAATAGTCTGTCAAAAATGGATCACTCCAAGATGATCGAATATAATTTTAAGGGGAAAAAAATGCCAATATACATAAGTATTGTAAAATTTCAAGCCCTAAGTTCCAGTAATTCTACTTTTAGGAAACTGTCTCATGAAATACTTGAAAGAATAAAAGAAAAAAACCCATATGAACAAGAATTTTAGAACAGCAATATTTGCTAACAGTGAAGAAATTAAAGACATGTAGCTGTCCTTCAATAAGGAACAAACAAGTACACTGAGATACCAGACCATTCATAACTGCACAGCTCCAAACATGCAAAACGCACGTGCACACACTGATGTGGGTCAAGATCACTCTGTAGCACATGTGTGTGGTTCAATGCTTGCAGGAGAACAAAAGACAAATGAAAAACGAAAGTCCATGTGTCCCTAACACACATTTCTGATGTACCAAATGTGTCCACAGCTTCCTGGTGAACCACTAACCAGGGTGGGTCTGGGAAGAGAAAAGGACACTTGACACTCATTTTCCATGCTTCTGTGATGGATTTGGGGGCCTGAACCTCTAAAACAAAGAGCCAAGCTTCCAATGTGCTCCTACCTTCACTCAGCTGTTCCAACGACCCCCGGGACAGAAGACTTGAGAAAGATTCTACAACTGTGCACTTCTTCCTGTATCTGCATTGAGGAAGGCCAGGGGAAAGAGAACAGAGAGGAGGAGATGCCATCAGACAAAGCTCATTGTCACTGACCATCATTTCAGTCACAGCTACAAGTCACCACACTGGGCCTCCAAGCCCCCTGCAGGGCCAGGCCCTCCTCCCCATGCTGCACACACAGTGCCTAGCCCTGCACTGCCAACCATGGGCACTCCACCTAACCAGCATGGTGGAGAGGAGCCCACAAACACGCCGGGCAAAAACCTGGCAGAAACCTCCCTTCCTTTTTTCTGGATAAAAGCAGAATTTCTGTGGTAAGTGTCTCTACAGGGGAAAGATGAACTAAAGGTGCACTGTGAAGAAAATGCTCTTCATTTGAGAATTCACAGCATAATTATACGAAGATTCATTTTATCCACATTAAAATTCACCATACAAATAACAGCCTTCACTAAGGGCTTCTACAGGGAGAACAAAGCTTAAAACTGACACTCATTTTGATCAACCAAGAGTGTTCAATGGCACCCTTAGGCAAATACCCCCCGCCCGAATGTGTGGTTTCTTCCACATAGAAGAAGCACACTCCCTGCTTGACCTGACAATTCTTAACTGACCTCCCTCAAAAGAACTACAAAGATGCACTCTGCTAACCCTTCTAAGGCCTCCCTCAGACTTTCACCATGGCTCACACCCCATGTATCCAGTAGAGGGTACAGGTGCTGAATGGGAGTCATATTACAACTCCCATATTACAACTTGGTGAATTCCACCGCAGAGAACTGAACTGGCCAAGAAACTCTGAAGCTGAAGTCCTGTCCCGCAGCTCTGCACAGCTTCCAACACTGACACCATAGCTCAGCAGACTGCATTCATTTGGCACTACTGCAGGAAACTTAGAGATGAACTACTCAGTCGTACTTTTGGCACGTTTGCAAAGCGTCCTTCATGGCAGAAATGCCATTCTGGATGTCCTGTTGTTCAAAGGTCATGACGGCCTGCAACACCACGATGGTACTGTAGCCCAAGGCATGGTACATGCTCTCCTTGGCCCTGGAAAGAACACAGCCAGTGAGTACATCTGAGGGCGATGAAAGAAAAAGACAGAAACAACATCCCAGGTGTTTTCTGATACCAGCAATACCAAGTTCTCACTGTGCCTGTCTCAACTTCTGCTCCGTAGTTACTGAAACGACACAAGCTCTGAAAGGCCTGTTTTAAAAACTAAATTTATACCCACACAGCAGAAAAAAGTGCTGCGGACAATGTGCCTTTCCCTGATTCAGCACAAGGGGGCAGCCTGTGGACTTGTTTCCAAGAAGAAGTTTGAAAGCAAACCAGTATTTTTTCCTGTTGAATAGGGGACACTGTACCACCTTAAAATCTGAAATGAGTGAGGCTTGGAGGCACACAACTCTGATTCTAGCATCCTGAGAAGTAGAGAAAAGGAGTTCAGGAATTCCAGGCCTGTGAGTCTGGAATTCTGTGAGTCTGAGGCCAGTCTGAGCTACATGAACCCTATTTAAAAAATAAAAATAAAAAATAACATAACAAAAAGAAAGAAAGAAAAAAGAAAGACAAAAGAGAGACAGAGACTCTGGAGTTTTTGTGCGATGCAGAGAAAAGTTGCTTTAAAACTCTTCTTTCCTCTCCAGCTCAAGGCCAAGCAGAAACAGGATTTTTACAATAAATTAGGTCCTGAGCACAGAGACCTGACTAAAGTAACCCTTAGGATCTATTATCAGAGAACCCTGATTAAAGCTCAGTTATCAAGCTTTCAGTTATCTGATAGCTACAGTTATCAAGCTTTCTATAACTGCCCGAGGCTGCTAGCTCTTTGTAAAGCTTATGCTGACTATGTTTAAAATATGAATGTTTTAATTTAAGTGCTGTGGCTCAACATCCTGTGGCTATACAGAACACATCCAACATCATTCCTTTCATTCACCTTGGACAGAGTCTAAAGAGCCTTTGTCCTGAATGAGGGGACTGCGCAAACCTCACACTAAAGTGGGGTGACAAGGGGATTTTAACAGTGACTATGTATAAAGTTCAGAGACTATGAAACCAATAATTTATTTGTATCCTATTTTATGAGCATTGGTAGAGATGAAAAAGGAGATCTGTTTTTAAAAAGGAATAAAGAACGCAGGTAGAGATGCTGAGTCAGAAGGCAAGAGCACTGAAGAGTGACAAAGTCAGGCAGACAGAGGTGACAGATGAAGTCAGAGGGACATTACTGGACACATGACATGAGGAATTGGATTCCCCAACTTCGATGTCAAATTTTCCTCTAGTAACAGAGTCTGGAGATCACTGCAAGATCAGTTCTGCAAAGCCTGCCATGTGCAGAGCTGAGGCCATTGAGCAGGCCCTATGGGCAAGGGTGCTGCCAAGCCTGAAAACTCAGTGCCGGTAACTTCTGTGACAGAAGTAGGGCGCCCTGACCCATATTCTTATCATCTTAAGTTTGACTTTTGGCACTGGTATTAGGCTTCTCTAGTTATTCCCCAGCTCGTTTCAAAGGGAATTAATTCAGTGATGTTTGGAGAGAGTGCTCACGAGAAGACTTCACTTAAGAAAACAAACATGACAGCTCCCAAACCACAGATACTACATCTGAGCAAGTGTTGAGACTAAAACAAAGCATCAGAAATTTTCTATTGATTAAATCTGAAAAGACATCTCTTGAAAGCTGATTGATGAGATGGGGGCCTCAATCAAATTAACTTATAAATACTGAGGCAGATACAGACATATTAACATACAAACATGATATCAGAGAAACACATGAAAATATCTTATCTGATGAGAAATAAAGTTAATTACCAGGGACGAAGCAACTCTAAGGCATCTTTAAATTTGTTGCTTAGAAATAGGTTCAGTGCCTCTGCGCACTCTTCCAGGCCACTCTTGAGATCCACCTTGGCTGATGAACTGAAGGAAAAAAGAAAAACACATAGAATTTTTGTACATTTTATTACTAGGGCCTTGTCCCAAAGAGTAAGGGGAGGGGACGATGGAGACCAATTGAAATTCCGCCTTTGAGAAACTGTCACTTCTCAAAGGAGCTTCCCCCACCCTCCGGAATGCCAATGCTCTGAGTCTGTAGGAAACAGGTGGGCAGGAAAAAAAGGCACACACCTATGCTGCTCAGACAGGTGCACGGCAAGGACGAACAGTGAGTGCCCAAAAACTCTCATTAAGATTGAAAAGCAGATAAACCTACGCAGAGGAGAGAGGAAGGTAGAGCCATAGAGACAACAAATGATTTTATTCATCTAAGGTTTGCTCTTTGAAACAGGGTTTCACACTATAGTCGAGGCTGGCTCGGAACTCAAGGCCGTTCTCCTGCCCTAGCCTCCTCCCAAGAGCTATAACTACAGGCATGAACCTCTGGACTCCATTTACAGATGGATCCTGTGGACTGTGGAGAGAGTGTCTACTCTAGCCCTCTGTCCTCTGCTTCATCTTCCTAAGTGATGCGTATACAAGGAGGGCACATAGTACTGCATTCTCTCTACAGTCAGGGGCACTTCAAAGACGGGTTCCTCCTTGTTCTTCAGAGGGAACAACAAAGAGGAAAGGACACCCCAGAGTGCAAGCTTTGACATGCTGATTACTAAAGGAGCTTCAGAACCCAGGTCTCTCTGACCTCCTCCCATTTCCTTTTTTACCTTCTTTCATTCTTTCTTTTTGAACTGTAGCCCTGGCCTAAAACTCACACTGTCACCCAGACCGCCCTAGACCTGGTGATGGTAATCCACCTGCCTTGGCTTCCTAAGTGCTTGGACTACAGGCGTGCACCATCACCCCTATGTTCTGGGGCATCATTTTCTAAGTCCCAACAACACCAACTCACTGTATAACAGAGCTGGGCCTCAACTTCCTTACCTGTAAAATGAGACCATGGCAATCTATTTCCTGGGGCTGTTGTAAGGAAGGGACTGACCTACAAACACTGCCCATAGTAGCCACTAACTTGATGATTTGGGAGGGAAGGGGTCACACACTCAGAGGCCTAATTCTGAGAAGCACTGTGATGGAAAGATGTTCCTGTTATACAGTGACTCAGGGGAATATCTAGGTTGAGGAGGAATTCTATGCTGCATGTACAGCAAGCAATAAAGAAGATGACAGAAATGACAAAAACTAGGCCACAGTCTGAGAGCATAGTGTAGGAGGAGGTAGATTCTATTCTAAGAACAAAGGGAAGTGCATTGTCTCAGAAATCCTGTCCCCAGCAGATGTGGTAGAGCACACCTTCAGTCCCAGCACTCGGGAAGGCAGAGGCAGGCAGACCTCTGTGAGTCTGAAACCAGCCTAATCTCATAGGCAGCTCCAGGCCAGCCAGGGCTACCCTGCCTTTGTTTATTTATTTATTTAAATTTTAATTAATTACACTGTATTCACTTTGTATCCCCCCTGTAGCTCCCTCCTGCCTTTACAAACAAACAAACAAACAAACAAAAGCAGGCTCCTTCCCTTCCCTGCCCCTCTGTGTTCCAGGCTCCTCTCACCTGCTCTGCATCCCACTCCCCCAGTTCCTATCAGGAAATGGGCTGTGACCAGGATGCTCTCCTTGCCAAACAGCTGCAATCTGATCCCTACACCTGTCCCAGCCCAGGTCAAACAAACAAAAAAGCCACAGCTCTTCAAAGTTGTTTGCCTGGAGCTGAACCTGGTTCCTCCCAGCAGACCAGCAGACGGCTGGTGCTGCTACCAAGTGCTCTAATGCTTCTGTCTTGGTCAGTAGTCATCCTGGAGACACTCATCCTTCTCAGTTTCCAAAGCCATCCCAGGAGTGGAGACGATTATCCCTTCAGACCTACACTCTAAAGCTCTCCCAAGAAGGCCTTCCTGATGACAAATGTTTTTGACTTGATGATGCTCAATCTTAAGCAGGCATTAGACATGCCTTTGAGGGCTTGTTAATGCAGAATGCTGGACCCCACACTCAAGAGCTTCTGACCTAGTAGGCCTGGGATTGTCTCAAGTGAAAGCCCAATTCTGCTTTAATCTGTCCTCTATACAACCCCCAGACTTCAACACTGTCTCCTCAAATTAAGAACCATAAAATGGCTGTCACATAAAGTTCAGCAAAGCCCAGGAAACACATTCCCACTAAGCCCGTCCAATTAGACAAGAAGGATGAGCAAGGCCTTAAAAGCAACCAGGCATCTCTCCAGAGGAATCCACACAGGATTTCCCTCAAGCCTGGCATGACAGAATGAAAAGAATCTTGAACCTGAAGTAAAAGTCAATGTTGACATTCTCCAGAGAGTGCCCTGAGTCCCTGGCCCATCTACACCCCGGTGCTTTCACAAACCACAACCTGTTTGAAAGAAACAGAGGCCGCAGTTGCCATGGGCATGCTTTGTGAGCGTCCCTGCTCCATGTCAATTAACAGCTGTGTATCTTGCAAAAGCTACGGGGGCTCAGCCCACACAGTCGCAACTCTGGACCTGCTGCAGCCCTTCCCATTTCTTGCTGTATACCTTCAATGAAGTGAAGATTCCTTCCTATTTCTAACTAAGTTATAACAAATATCTGGAATGATATAATGGTATCCCTTACATCCCAAGTCTTTTTTTTTTTTTTTTTTTCCTTTAACAATCACTTAATTTGCTTGACTGCAAATGCTGTGTGCCTTGTAGTGAATAAGGACCTAGGCTCTGGAGCCAGACGCTTTGGCTTCTTTCCTAACCTCACCCCAATCCTAAATACGACCATGACAAGACACTTTTCTTCCCCAGTACCCAGTTTTCCTAATCCACAGATACATCTAGTAAAAATGACCATATTAAATTGCTTGTTAACCAATGTGACAGGATTAGCTTAGTGTCTGTGCAGAATTCCTCGGATAATGCCAACTACTCATGCCACTCTTTCGTTACTATCGTTAACTGCTTTCAGTAATTCAGAGTCATTTGCTCATGGGTCCAGCCAGTGTGTAATACCAGACAAGTTAATGCCAGAGTGGAGACAGAATAAAATATAAACATGGAAGAGAAGAGGAACAAAAGTTCAGAAAATCTGAGGAGTTCCCCAGTGAAAACCTTGCTGGATTCACATACCACTAGCAGTAGAAACTCGTCATTTGGAACTTAGAGACTATGGTGCCTAGAGTGGAGCTGATGTGTGAGAATTTTGCCTTTGTGAAGATGTGAGAGTGTGAGCATATGGGAATGAAGGCTTACGTCCAGGGTGACAGAGAGAAAAGTGGACGTTGGAGTCTTCACCACGTGTAGCTAAAAAAGTTTCCACTTTTCCAGTTTCACGGGCTCCTTTGCTTCAAGGGCTATATCACAATTTCCCACACGACACCAACTCTGTCAGACTAAGGCCCTAAATAACCAGATCACAAACACCCAGCACCACTTCATTTCTCTGGGTATGTTTCTACCCTCGGTTATCTGGTTTTCTCTCCTAGATTCCTCAACCGTTACCCTAGCTATGGACAGTAAGACACTCTTTCCTTTCCTATGTTAACATCTGAAAGAGACAAGCACTTCCTCCTCCTACATTCCCTGGGGAGGGACCTTGTTGATCTGCTTTCTGCCCAGTTCCTCCCCAGGGTAGAATGAAGGCCCAGAGGCAGAAGGATCACAAGTTCAAATCCAGTGAGTAGATGATTGGTGACCCGAGAAGGCAAAGTGAGTGGGTGAGTGGGTGTGACTGGCACAGTCGCTGCAGCTGCTAGCACCACCCCGCCCTTCTCGAATCTGGAGATTAAAACCCAAGATTACATAATATTAGGCAAGTATTCTGCCACCCAGTTACATCCTCAGCTCTGTTCCAGCCTTTTCTTAAGAAAAAAAATAAGGCATGTGGAATTTATTCTCTCTGTGAGACAATGAACTACGTAAAGCAGGCTCTATCGCCCTCAAAGCCTTCAATTTTGAGCCTAAGATCACACATGGACCTGGCAAAAACAAAACAAACATAATCTCCAAAGCAGGTCTCCACATGACCAAGCCTACATGCTCTCACGCGGTCTTCGTGAATCAAAAAGCTAAGAGTTCGGTCTTCTTGGGTCTGAACCCTTCACTGATATTCAAGGGCCTCTATCCCCAAGGCTCTCAACCTGTGGGCCCCTTTGTGGTCAAGCAACCCTTTCACAGGGGTTGCCTAAGACCATCGGAAAGCCCAGATAGCTACATTTCGATTCATGACAGCAGCAAAAGTAAGTGATGAAGCAACGATGAACAGTATAGTATGCTCATTCTTCAGACCCCAGAGGAGAGCAGAGTTCCAGTGCAGAGCCACCGCTATGCTGCAGCATCTCATGGCGTATCTATTTTGAAGATCTGCGCACTGACAGGAGAGGCAGGATGGCTCAGGTTCCTGTAAATTAGATCTGCTTTACGGCCATCTCTTCCTCTCCTGGCTTATTTAAGTGTAAGGAGCAGTGAGCTGCTCTTTAATATTTCATTAGTGTGATGATGCTATTTTTGCAATGTCTAATATGTCACTAATAAAATTAACTTATTTTGAAATGGCTCTTTGACAAACACTGGGAACTACCTGGTTTAGCCTATGCGTGAAGATGCTAGATACTGATAAGTCAAGTGCCTTGGGTAAATGCCAATTGAGTTAGGAAGAAGCACGGAGAAGGAACAACTGGAATGGGGGAAGTGAATGGAGAAGAGGAGATGCATAGCAAGAGCCTGCCTTTGTTTCCCTGAGCTCAGAAAGCTTCCCCTCTTAAACTAGAAAGGGGCTTTCCCAGAGCATATGGGTGGGCTCTGTCACGGCACTGGTGAGCATTCTACCCTCCAATAGAAAGGAAGGTAAATGTCATATACACCACCTTCTAATCCAAAGCAGGTGCACACCTGTAATCCCAGCAATAAGAGAGCTGAGACAGGAGGACTGCTGAGAGCTCAAGGCCACTTTGGTCTCGACAGTGAGTTCAAGGCCAGTCTGGACAACATGGTGAGATGTGCTATCCAAGGTGACAAAGGCTGTAGAGACAGTTCAGTCAGTAAAGCTAGTGCCTTGCAAACTCGATCCCCAGAAACCATTGAAAAAGCAGGACGTTGGAACACACCTGTAATCCACATGGAAGATGGAAAGGGGTAGGTTCCTGAAAGTTCACGGACCAACTAGCCTACACAGTGGAACTCCAGGCCAGTGAGAGACCCTTCCTCAAACAAAAGCTAGAAAGGCTCTATGAGACAGACAGCTGAGGTTGTCCTGTGAGCACGTGCAACCCCTCCCCCAACAAGCATGCTATTAATTAATTAGATTATTAATTATTAAAAGGAAAGGAGGAGCTAGGTTGCACTCAATTGCTTAAGCAACCTATTCCTTCTTTTTTTAGAAATTACAATATAAGTAAATAATAAATAAATCTGTAATGAAATTTCATAACCACTTTCGAGTATGGTCCTGCAATACCCACTATAGCCACACTACTGTGCACTCTCTAGAACTTTAACAACCTGCAAAACTGAGCCCATGTTCTTGACCAGTAGTGGCTCTCTGCCCTGCATTCTTTACAAAGCAATGCAAATGAAGCCCCTATTCTCACAGCCCCCTCAACTCAACATTCTGCCACAACCAGTGACTAAGCCACTTAGGAGCCTCATCCTACTGAACAGTCTCTGGAATTCTACCTCCTCAGTAGGAAGGCCAAAATTTCCTTCATGGTGCTAGGATTCCCCCAAAGACACCCACAGACTTCTGAGAGGCTGATGCTTCACTGGCGTCAGCAGAGCACCTTGTGATGAAGACGGGGTGGGGGCACTGCTAGGGCTATGAAATCTGCAAGCATCAATGCTGTAACAAAAGTATCTCTGCATCACTTCCCACATTTGACCTCCATATATTCCTGGATGTGTATCTCCAACCTTTCCTCTTCCCATCTCAGACACAAGCACAAATCTCAATCACCTGTACTTAAAAGCAAACTAAACAGGGAAATAACTTATCCTCGCCTTTCTCTTTTCCTACCGTGGCTTCTCTGCTGGCCATGACATGGGGGCATGTGGAATGTCCCCAAAGACCCATGTGTTAAAGTGTTCGTCTCCAGAAGTGCTATCTGGGATGGTAAGCTCTCTAACAGGTGGGAGACCCTTGGGTGATGGACAGATGTTCTTAAAGGTGACTGTGGTGCCTGGCTCCCTCCTCCTCTCTTCTTCCCTGGCCATGATGTACTTGCAGCCTTGTCCTGCCACGCAGGCTACACTCCCTCCACAATGTGCGGCCTCACCACAGAGCCAGCAGCAGTGGGGCTGGCCCATCACAGGCGAGAAACGCCAAACTTGAGGTTGTGAGAGAAAATGAACCTTTCTAAGTTGACAGCCTCAGGTAGTTTTTATAGTAGCAAAAGTAGCACACCTCCCTCTCTCCTGCAAGAACTCCAAGGTTGGTATCTGTCACCATAGCCTGATTCCTCCCCCAACTTCCTCCATTCTCTTCAAAACTCGACCACAAAATACAAAGGACACTCTCCAGCCTGCATCCACCCACGCTCTTTAGAACACCTGCCTTACAGACCAGATTCCAGACCTCAACCACCACCCTCAAATCCTTGTCCATCTTTCGGCAAGCCTGCGGCTCTGGCTGAACACCCATTCCCTCTGCCATGCTTCCCTCTTCCCAAAGGTCCACCTCTTCTTTTGCATTCCACCTCTTCCTTCTTTTATCATGCTGTCTCCCAGAAACAGCATTTGTAGTCTGGGCCTCCAAGTTAAGATTCCTGGGCCACAACCTCAGTGAAGTTGTGACCTTTTTTTATTATTGCTTTCAATTATTTTTATTTTACTACAACTTTCAAACACAGCTTTATAAATGTTGATGTAGTAGTTACCTAGGAAACAGAATTAAAGGATAACTATGAGAAAGGAATATTTTTTGAAAAAATAAAGAAAGAAACGTCATATTTCCTTGAGCAGGAGCATTTAGAATTTTAAAAAGTAATGTGGAAAATAAAACTTTAAGATTCTTACAAGTTATTTCCAGCTTCATTTCCATCTCACAACCCCTTCCATATTATGACAGTTTCGCCAAATTCCTGAGTACAATGAACACGCTTGTAAATAACTAACTCCAATTAAAACCTAAAATGAAGACCCGATATGTAAATTTAAAAGCTCCACAAGCCAGTAGCTCAGAATATAAAGTACTTTCTCATGGGTATTAAGACACCTTTAACAAAATGCCTTAAAACTCATAAAAAAACAACTCAGGGCTAAGGAAATGGCTCAGTGGCTAGAGCACTCAGCTGAGTTCATCTCCCCCGAACTCACGTAACACCAGACACTGTAACTCATAATACCAGAATTGCTGTGCTGCTATAGAGGCCGGTAAATCCCTAGAAGCTTGTGGCCAGCTGGCCTGACGTAGGCAGCCCACAAAAGACATCCTGCTTCAAACAGAGTGGACGGTAAGAGCTGACACCTGAGCGTGTCTCTGACCGCCACACACATACCACAGCACACCCGCACCCACACTCATGCACACAAACATACACATACGTGCATACACACAAACATTCAGAATGATTGAAAAGGACAATAACTGGCAACTAAATGTGATGGTGTGAAGACATCTATTAAGAATGGAAAATATAATGATAAGTAAGCTTAAAAAGCTGACTACATAACAATGTAGCATGATCCCAATTAAACAATTTAGTAACTAAGAAGAATACAAGGTTCCGGTATTACATCTCACTCTCTTTATACTTTCTGTGGCTTTTGAGTTTCTAAAACTGATATATTTCTTAAAATGCATTTTTAAGCCAAGGACGTGAGAAGATATAAGAAAGAGAAATAATAGTAACACATTAGTTTTTAAAATCTCTTGTGGGTCAGGTATGGTTGCTGTAATTCCAGAACTTCATGTAGAAGGATTAGGAATTCAAGGTTATCTTCAGCTACATAGCTAATTCCAGGCTACAAATAAACAAACATACAAACAAGCAAAGCAAATAAGACGAAAGTTTTAAAGTTTAAAGATAAGCCAGTACAATGTAGCTGCTGCCAAACCTGAGGCTGTGAGTTCAGTTCCTGAGACCTACACAGTGAAAGGCGAGCACGAACTCCTGCAAGTTCTCCTCTGCCCTACACACGTGTGCTACGGCGCTCACTCTCACGCCATGCACATACACAAAATAATGCTAATGGCTTCTCAGGAGCAGAGGCTATGTCCCCAAAGTTGAATTTAGTTTTGCTGTTACTGTACCAGTGAATCCCCTGGCATGAACCTTCTTCTCTGACTTCTCTATTAATTGCCTGGGCCCACCCCCACCTCACTGGTGTACTACAGTCTCCTGAGAGTCCCCAAAGTCCCCACACGCCCTCTGACCTTCCCACAGCAGATGCTCCAAGCTGTCTGGATGCCCGTTTAGTGTCACCTGGTACAAAGGGGAAGCTGCTTGTTGCCATGTCCGAGGGAGATCTGTTGATTGAAAAACAGTGAGATTTTTAGTTCTTTGTTCTGTGAGAAAGAGCTGCACAGACATAAGAGCACAATACACATCCATCAATCGTTTTATATGGCTCACCTCTATTTCAATTTGAAAAGCAAGTAATATAATTCTATTTTGGGTTAAATATTTCTGAAATAAAACCACTGGGAGATTTACTGTTTTTCCTTATAATTTAACATACAAAAAAATATTAAATTAAGCCACAGCGGTGGTTCTCAACTTTCCTAATGCTGTAACTCTTTAATGTAGTTACTCACATTGTAATGACCCACAACCATAATTTGGTAGCTACTTCAAAACTGTTCTTTTGCTACCGTGATAAATCATAATGTAAATATCTGCTATTCAACCCCCTCACAGAGGTTGAGACCCACAGGTTAAGAACTGCTGGCCCACAGCCTTCTATCTTCTGCCCCTTCCCGACCCCCATCCCTTGAGAAAGAGGGCAGGACAGGCAGGGTCTGGCTACGTGGTCCTACAGGCCTGGAACTCACTATATAGATCACGATGGTCTCAAATGTCCAGAGATCCTCCTGACTCTGTGTACCAAATGCTGGGATCAAGAATGTGTCATTGTGCTTGACCAAGGCCATTATATGTATAGTCTTCCAGATATTTCTGTTTCTGTTTTTAGCTAGGGTCTGTCTCTATAGCTAAAGTCAGGTCAGCCTCAGACTCACAGCATCTTCTTGCTTCAGCCTCCCAAGTCTGAGATTAAAAATATAAGACACCAAGCATGGCTCGGATTTTCCCCCCAAGTAAAGCTATACTTGTTTTTATTAGAATATTATTAAATTAGTTATTATATTTGTAAGAGGAAGCTCAGCATGGCTCAGGTTTTCCCCAAGTAAAGCTATATTTATTTTTATTAGAATATTATTAAAATAGTTATTACATTTGTAAGATGAAGCTCTGAGGCAACAGCTATCCATCTTCTTAGGATTCTGGGTTTGTTTTTGTTTTAATGCGTATGAGTGTTTTGCCTTCATGTATGTCTGTGTACCATGTGTGAGAGCCTAGAGACCCAGAAAGTCAAAAGTGGGTGTTATATCCCTTGAGTATAGAGTTGCAGATGGTTAGGAGTTGCTATATGGATGTTGGGAATCCAACTCAGGTCCTCTGAAAGGGCAGCCAGTGCTCTTAACCAGTAAGCTCTCTCTCCAGCCCAAAGTTTGTTTGTTTGTTGTTTTTAAAGACAAAGGTTTTCTTTACAGCCAGACTGGCTATAAACACAACCCTTTCCTCAGCCTTGTGAGTGCCAGGGTTGGAGGTGTATTTTCCCATGCCAGCCCTGAATTCCAGCTCCTCAATAGAATTGAAATTTCCTCCCTCTTATATCCTAAGTGTTGGCTTAGGTGAGCAGCCAACAAACATTTGGCTGAGTCTGATAACAAACATTTAAGTTACATCCTTCCCACCCTTTATCTTTTTATGCACACGAAGGTCCCAGAATTGTTTTAAGTTTTACATTAATATAACAACATCATACCACAAACTACAGTTTTAACCAACAGTATTTGCTCAGGAGCATTTGTTTTTCTAGGATAGGATCTGTGTGTTCTGTAACAAACGTCAGTTGCACATATCAATAGTGAGATATGCATGCCTGCCACCTCTCTTTTGTGTGGGCTGCTCTGGGGCTCTGGTCATAACATGCTGACAAGGGCCATGTCATCTTGTTTGTTCTTACGGCCAGCAGGCACAGTTCTACCTACAGCTCCTTGGCCTCTCTCTTCCAGCTTTCCCTCTAGGGCTTCTTCTACTGCTCTCTAGAACAGTTTCTTGGCAGAGGAATCAGGATATGCTGCCTTCTCAGAAGGAGGCTGATGATGGAACAGCAGGGCTCTCTGGAGAACCAGGCAAGAAACTGGGCTGTGGTGCAGAATCCTGCCTCCCTCAGGACCTGGGTGGCCTCCGCACATCCTTTTCAGCATGACACTTCCCAACCAAAGCTCTCATCAAACAAGCATGAAGAACCTATTTTCTCCCTCTTTTTATGTTAAAAATGTTTCAAATGCAAGAAGAAGAAGAAGAAGAAGAAGAAGAAGAATAGCAAAGAACGCATACATTATATCTGGAATACGGTTTTGGGAACAGTGTGAACTACATTTAACTCCCATCCCCAAGTCCTCCAAAGACAGGCAATCAATAACTCATCCTCCAGCCATTTGTTAGCTCGGAAATGAGACAAAAAGAAGACTGAAGTCCTCTCAAGATCCTAAAGCACTGGCAGGCACACAGGAATATTCACCCTCTGGAGATCTGCTTGCCTTTGCTTGGCTGACCAGTTACTACTAAGATTATATTCCAGAAAATGTGACACTGGGGCTGGAGAAATGGGCCAGAAGTTATTCTGCTGCTCTTCTTAGAGAAGACCCAGGTTCGATTCTTAGCACCCAAATGATGGCTCACAGCCACCACAGCTCCAGTTCCCAGGGTACCAAATGTCCCCACTTGATCCCCAGAGGACACCAGGCTCACACATACACACAGGCAAAAATTCATACACGTAAAGTAAATAAATCTTTTTTTAAACTTGACATTAGTTTGAAGCTATTTTACTACAATAAATACACAAATGTATGAAAACGTTATGTTTTATCACATAGCCAGTGATAAACAAATAAACCAGTTTTGTGTTTAAAAAATGATATCTCAACATTTTGTCTTCAGTCTCCCAAGTGCTTTGGGAAGCATTTTATACCTCGATGACCTCCCTTGTTGACCACCATGCCGGCAGCATGGGTTATGTTGCAGTTATCATCTGTTGACAGTGCTGCACTATGCGGCAACCCCTAACGGAGAGCAAGTGCCCATGTGTTCAGGCTGGTTCTGAACACACCTTTATTGTCCGTATCCAGTGCACCTGCACTTCACACGCTTACCATTACCTCAGCTTTCTGAGAAGTGGAGAGAGATAGAAATAAGTCATCTGCTTCTCTAACTGGTATTTGAGGATCTTTTTATTATATTGTCATTCTCATTTATGTGATTTTGACAGTTATAAATTTTGTCAAAATTTTGATTTTGATAATTATAAAGTTTCACAAAAAGTCTTGCTGGAATTTTTTTAATTCAGGTTTCATTATATTATTATGGAAATCTGCCCCAAAAATTTTGTTATAATATTGCATTTTTCTTTTTTTAATTTTTTTTTTTATACTAATTACAGTTTATTTACTTTGTATCCCAGCTGTAGCCCTCTCCCTCGTTCCCTCTCAATCTCACCCTCCTTCCTGCCCCTCTCTAAGTCCACTGATAGGGGAGGTCCTCCTCCCCTTCCATCTGACCTTAGCTTATCAGGTCTCTTCAGGACTGGCTGCAATGTCCTCCTCTGTGGCCTGTCAAGACTGCTCCCTACTCGGAGGTGGGGAGGTCAAAGAGCCAGCCACTGAGTTCATGTCAGAGACAGTCCTTGTTCCCCTTACTAGAGAACACAATATTGCATTTTTATGTCTACATACATTGGTAAGTTCCAGTCTGCTTTGCCCTCTCCAAAGTCCACTGTGATTAAAGACCTGCTTCCAAGTAGCAAATGGTGAACCCTTGGGAGGTCCTTAGATCACTGAAGGTGTCAGGTGGTTCACCTGCGACCTTTGGGTTTCTCGTGATAACGTCATAAAAGGAGCAAGCCTGGTGTGCCCACCCCCTTTCTCTACCACTGTTCAGGATATGGTCATGTTCCTACTGCCACCGTGAAACACTGTCCACGTGCCAGCCTCACCACAGACTGGGGCTAATGGGACTTCCTGATCTAGGACCTTGAACTAAGTAACCTTTTATCTGTATGAATTAGCTACCTCAGGTGTCTTGTTGAAGTAATGTAAAGCTGACTAATACAGAGACTATTCAGTCTTTGCTTGTTTCCGTCAATAAAGGTTAGCAGTATATAAACATGGTGCTGATATCCACGTACTGTAAAAGAACAACACTAAAACTTCATGCTGCTCCATTTTAAAATCTACCACCACAACTAGCACAGCTTTTAAACTTTACCTGAATGCTTCCTTTTATCTTACATACTACTATACTCAGGTTAGAAAGTGTGTTTTCAAATAGTGAAAAAAAACACTCTTATTTCACTGACAGTGACTAAGGGTCACAGATTATATTTCGACTAAAGGTGTGTAAGAAAAATGTGCCTTTATTTTGCATTGTTTTGGACACTCTTCTTTTTTAAATGTTTTAAACAGATTTTTTGGAGGTATCCAACTATCACCACAATCTAACTCACAACATCCCATCACGCAAGGGCAACCTGTTCACCATCACTCATGTCCTGTATCACCTCAAATTCTAAGCAAACACTAATCTTTCTGCATCTGCATTTGATTTTTCTGCATGAGTATCAACTACCATACGTGTTGTTTAGATGACAGGCTTTTTTCACTTTCCGTGTTCCAAGATTCACTCATGCTGTATGGAACGGCTAACAATACTTCATCATGTCCAATACTAAGTAACATGATACTGTAGAGATACGCCGGATTTGGTTTTCATTTCATTTGTTCATACTGCATGGACTTTAATTTTACTTTTTTGTGCATCATGGAGACTGCTGTTATTAATATTCATGTACAAGATTTATGTGAATATAATAGACTAGGTCATGTGATAATTCCACATTTGATACTGAAGAATTGCCACTAATTGTTTTCCAAAGTGGTTATATGATTTTATTATATAACCAATAAAATATGACAGCTTAAGCCTGGTGGTAGTGGTGCACACTTTTAAGGCCAACACTCAGGAGGCAGAGGCAGGTGGATTGCTCAGCTCAAGGCCAGCCTGGTCTACAGAGCAAGTTCCAGGACAGCCAGGGCTATACAGAGAAACCCTGTCTCCAGGGAGGAAAAAGATTCAATTTCTCTACAATTTAGCTAATGGTAGTCATTTTGGTTAAGTGTGGTAACTGTTTGTGCGTTGGGGTTTTGTGTAATGTAAGTAGACACTGGGGTACTTGGGTTCA